GGACTCAAGGTCACACACTAAGTCCCCAAGACACAAGTTAGCATAGTATCTAGTACAGAGATGGTTACTCACCTAAGTCCCCAGACACAAGAGGTCGAGATGGGGACTTAGGGCGAGCTACAGGGGTCTTATATACACAAATCCATGGTCCAAGAATAGTACAAGAGAATCACATGCAGGGCACAAGGATGAGTAAGACCGACCCACTTAGGTGGGTCAGGATTATGAATCAAGGAGTTAGAAGGAATAACGAGTCATTGTTCATGAGTAAGCGGAATAAAACTCCGGTGGCTGTGCAAGGCTGTGCAAGGCAGTGCAGGGCAGTGTCAATGATGCTGTACTGCTGCCACTGAAGGTCACGTGACTTTGGAAAAGGAAAGGTGGGAAAAGGAAAATGATAAGTCCATATTTAGAAATGAAAAATGCGAAAATAAATTGTCCTTCTCTTCTCATCACAATCTACGCTGAATTCAATCAACGTTATGTACTCGGCATGGTTCAATTTGAGCCCGCAACTGAGGAGGAACACAGCATTTTAACCCAATCAATCGCACCGGCGGCTACTACAGGAGATGCCAACGTTATCATCACCCAGGCACAACTTCTTGGCAGTCCCGAAACTCTTCCCGTCGCGTGAGTTCATCCTATATCTCTCTTCCACCGCACTAAAGGCCTGCAGGGCTACGGCAGGCAACTTCACTCCACCGCCACCCATCCCTCATGGAAGAAGATTCCAATGCCCTGTTGACGATTGCGGGCAAAGCTACGGCAGGCGTACAGATTACCGTCGCCACTATCTGGATGTACATACGTTGCCTCTCCGGTGCCCATGTTGCCCTAGCACCTTTCAGCGGACTCGAGTGTACCAGCTCGATGCTCACAGTGGGTGCTGATCCCCATTTCTCCTGGAATGTTAACTGAAATGACAACCTAGTGAGCAACAAACATACCTCTGTTGGGCCCATTTGACAGAGCGCCGTCGTAGACATCGTTGCTCGGGGAACAAAACGGCCTCGCCGTCCAGGTTTCAATTTACAGCCGCCATCTCGTTATCCCACCGTATTGCGTGGTGACGTCAGTCTACCTGCGGCCCTTTGGTTTCCAGCTCGCTTCCTCCATCCTATTGCCCTGACTCGGACCAACCATCTTATCGCCGATTCACTCTCTTGTTTGTCGAGACTCGTTCACCACCACCATCATCATCGTCCCAGCAAACCGGCGCGGCATCGTTATACCATGCGACTTGGCTCGGCTAGGTTGCCGAAGATCGGATCTCACAACTACACATGCGCGGAGCTGCCGAGGACTCATCACACGCTACGATGCTTTAACGCTCAACAACGCACACCCATAACTCAGTGCTCGACCACCCCGGCTATGTCAACCTAGAACGGACAGCGGCCTTTCGCCGTCGGTGCACCGTTCGTGGTTGGCATACGCGATGGGGAGGTTGCACATATTATCCGTTCACTTCTTGCATATTCTCGTTGTGGAGCAAGGAGCAGGTTTTGTGCGGATCTGTTGTAACAACGACGTACTACTAACAGGTGCACTTATCCGTGGAGCTGCCGGCCACTTATCCATCGGGATCTTCTATCGTGTACGCTTCGCGTAACTCTGGTACTTGTAGAGTCTTATAATTTCTTTGTATGGATGACACCACCACATTGTAGTTACACATTTTTGTCTCGTTGACCGGAACGAAAAGGCGTTGAACATGATCAGTTCATCTTCATGCATACACCTCCATGTGGCCAATTGACGAGGAACTGTGCTTCGATCCGAACATTAACATCTCGTGCGAGGCTTAACCAATCCTCTACTCCACCGTTGCAGGTCAAGCTCTTCGTCGATCGAGCATGTCCGTGATCGTGAAGTCCCTTTCCCCCAGGCGAAACACTGAACCACTTGAAGCGGCGCGCCCTCGCATCGGGCGCGGGAGGATGACGACGTGCTCGGGCTGGCGCGTCGAGACCACGGAACCACAACTTTCGATCGGGCAGAGCGTCGACATGCATTGCAGCGTCCCGTACAAGGGAGCGTGTGTCAGTCGGACCAGTCCCTCTTGCTGCGGCTCTGCTTCTTGCAGCTTTGCTTTGCTTTGGCGATCCGGCGTCGAGTCTGATCGGCGACCTCCAGTTTCCGGACCCGCTCCTTCTGTTCTGGGGAGGCCTCGTTGACGATAGAAGCCGATGCGGCTTGAACGATCAGCGTGCGTAGCTGTAGGCGTGCATTGTCAGGGACTCGCTCGAGACGAAGACACGGACAAGGAGATGCATGCCTTGGACAGGCATTCGTCTATGTTTTGTGCTTGCGAGCGATGTACCGTGGATGTGATGAGGATGCTGCGGGAGGACGCTGCATAATGGGGCTGCCAAGGTCCTTGGTCATGGTTCATTCGTGTGATTGGCCAACAAGGGGACATACCGATCGTACAATATAACCTCTTGCCCAAGGTGGTATCCATCCAGCGTCAACGGGGCATCGAAGGGTCGCTTTCGTATTGACTTTGTTCACGTTCTGGAGAGCGCGTCAACATCCTCCTCTCGAGTGGCAAGGGGGCGTGCTAACTTGCCCACCAGGACCCGAGCTCCTCGAGAACGTTAGCTCAACTAACTCCCTTGGCAATACCGGGCTCGCTTTGAAGCGGTCCAACCACATGCGTGCCTTATTGTTGTCCTCGAGGGTGCGGAGCACCTTCAGTGCTGGCGGGGTCGGTATGCCATGATCTGAATGCGCGAAGCGGGACAACAATGGATCCAAGGGTCGCAGCGTCACAGAAAAGGGCTTTGGTCTCAGTACCGCGGTCAGGTTCGCTAGGACATGTCGCCGCAGAAACATCACAAGTTGTTCCGAGCCTCTGACGGAAAAGCCCGTTGACGTCATCTCGATGCACAGCCCCAATGTGAGAGCCAGCAAGGCCGAGCGCAAACGTAGGATACGCGAACCACGATAACCTCCTTGGGCTCCTTGGCTCACAAGTTCTGCGATTTCTTACAGCTGGGATAAGTTCTTGATAGCTAGCAGCTTGTAAGGAACGATCGGGAAACATGACGGTCACCGTCGATCCTAGGTAAGCGTCGTCACTGGAGGAAATAAGTATGATTCCCCGGGAGTCGGCTAACATATTTGACTACGCAGCATCGCTGACAAGCCGCAGCGACCGACCTTCACCTCGAACACAACGTCACCTTTGGACCAGCTCCGGAAGCCAGGCGTGTCCGTGATGGAACGAACGCCCTCGGGAGGGTTCAGCACGACGAATGGCACGCTCTACGTCTCCAAGCCGTTTCGGAGCAGAACGAGCAAGAAGATGCGCGCGATGGTCAGCTTTGCCCCGCGCAAGAGCGCGTTTGACATTCAGAACGAGCAGAGCATAACGAATGAGTTCAGGGTACGTCATTCATATGCCCTGCGACCGTGTATGCGACTTGAATTGGGTATACTTTCCCAACATAGGGCTTCTTCACACTCTTCTGGATCTCAATCTTCATCCTCGCCGTGGGTGCCTACGTCCGCTCCTTCGAAAGATCAGGCTACTTCCTTGAGCTTGCCTTCGCGCGGCTCATGTCCCGCAACGCTGTATCTCTCGCCATCTCCGATGCAGTGCTCGTCCTCAGTACCGGCTTTTGCGTGCCGTTCGCAAAAGCCGTTTCGAAAGGCTGGATACGCTACTACTGGTTCGGCGTCGTGATTCAGCACGTCTTCCAGACGTTCCTTCTCGCCGTTACCGTAACCTGGACATCCAATCAGTGCGTATGACTGTGATGATCCTTCCGGCCGGTCCTCATTTTTGTCACAGACATTGGCCATGGGTTCAGTCCGGCTTCCTTACCCTGCACACCCTCGTTATGATTATGAAAATGCACTCCTACATGTCGACGAACGGCTATCTCTCCTACGCGCACGCGCACGCTCAGCAACTCTTGGCCCAGTTGCAGAAGGCTGCCAACGCGCAGGGAGGCTGGCAGAAGGCTCTCTCCGACGCCAAGGCGAACAGTCCGGAGGCTCACGACGAGAAGGAAAAGGAGGGTGAACTAACCCCGAGTGTATCCAACACCGCCAGCTCCCCCGCTGTCGGCACCCCGGCAGTACCGACCGGTGCGGACGTGAGCACCTCCTATATAGACGCCGACGCGGCCTCAACTCTGCGCCAACGCCTTGTAGCCGCCACAAATGCGGCCCAGAAAGCTGGCACCAACGAAGAAAGCGCCTCCAAGCTAGTATCCGAGGCCGCCGCCGCCGTCAAACCTTCCCCAGGTGACACTGTGATGTCTGCACATCCGCCGGCCATCTCCACGGATTCCGATTCTCCTCGTGCACCCACTCCGCATCCCCTCGTGCATCATCCAGACCCAACGATTGCGGATTTGGTCAGGGAGTACTCTGAATTGGAGTCCGAGCTTACATCCATGGGTCCGAAGTATGTGCGCTGGCCAGAGAACATTACCTGGAAGGACTTTGCCGTCTATCAGCTCATCCCGACACTCGTTTACGAGCTTGAGTATCCGCGCACGGACAAGTCAGTGACCACCGCTTAGCCCCGCAAATCAACATACTGACGTTGAGCGAACTGGCAGGATACGGCCATTATACGTGTTTGAGAAGACAGTTGCCACCTTCGGCACCTTTGCGTTGCTATACACCGTCACAGAGGCATTTATCCTGCCTCTTACCCCAACACCGGATCAATCGTTCCCTAAATCGCTGCTGGACCTCGCGCTCCCCTTCATGATCGCATATCTGTTACTATTCTATCTTATCTTCGGTACGTTGTCATCCAAGAATGGATCCAGGCAAGTCGCTAATACAAAGTCATCCAACAACAGAGTGCATATGCAACGCTTTCGCCGAGTTATCATAGTATGTCATCCGTGCACAAAATCTTCCAACAAGACCAAGTAACCTGTTTACAGCTTCGCCGACCGCCAATTTTATGAGGACTGGTGGAACTCGACATCCTGGGACGAATTCTCCCGGAAATGGAACAAGCCCGTTCATACGTTCCTCCTCCGACACGTATACGCGTCCAGCATATCAACCTATCGCATCTCGCGAGGCTCGGCTATGTTCCTTACGTTCCTGCTCAGTGCGGCAGTGCACGAGCTCGTGATGGTGATTGTGACGCACAAGATCAGGTCAGTCTCCTCATTCTTCTTTCCGTTCTCTGATACACGTAAGCGGTTGCTCACAAGATGGGCTGCTACAGAATGTACCTCTTTGTGATGCAGCTCGCCCAAATCCCACTGATATTCATTGGCCGGATACCTGCCATCAAGCAAAACAAGCTTCTAGGCAACATCGTCTTCTGGATCGGGCTCTACGCCGGCTTCCCGTTGCTATGCGTCGCGTACTGCGCATATTGATCTTTCCACCTCACTGAGCAAGGAACAGTTATGGGTTGAGGCAGCAAGGGGATGCGCCTAGCTTTTCGATTACGAACCATATGACCTTATCGCGCCGACACGCTTCTTCACGATTCGAGTATCCCCGTTGGCTTCATAGACCTTTCCGATACCTAGCTATCGCTCATCTCTGCGCCATGTAGCACACTTGTATAAGAAACCCGTATATCTTACAGTGCTATCGGACAATAATAACGGATCCGTCACTCCCCCTTGGCTCCGTTTTTCTCCCCGACGTCAAGCGCCACCAGGAATCGGCTGACCGCACTACATGCGCCGACGCTGAGCCTCCACTGCGAAGAACGGGAAGATCGACTTACTTATAACCGGCGCACGTCCCAGTGATCTCGACGATCTCCCGCTCGTCCTTGCAATGCTCCCGAAGCCGCGCGAAGGTCTCGTCGCTCACCGTCACGTCCCGCGTCATCTCGACGGCATATGCCCACGCCGCGTGCTGCTTGGGCGAAAGACCCACGCCGTTCCCGGCTTTGATACCTGCGAGCGCCTCGTCGCTCACGCCTGCGGCCGACGCCAGCGGCGCATGATGGTCCCATTCTACGTACACACGCGGTTGATGCATCTATGCGCGCAGAAACGCCGCTTTCACGGGCACGCACCGTACAGCGCGCCATTTACGGCTGCGACCGCGCAGATGACGATCTCGCGTATGTCCGGGGTCAGAAGCATCTCCGTCCGGATGGCGCCGATAAATGCGTTCCAGCCCGCGGCGTAGGGTGGGGAATGGAGAAGCGCGAGGTCGAGTGCCTGCAAAGGTCGAGGATGGCGTCGAGCCGCGATCGCCGCGATCGTCTGGTCTGTTGCGGGATCTCCGGTGGACTCACCCCGCGGGGGTGGGGTGAAGTACGGAAGGCGCATGAGCGGTATGAAGGAAAAAGACGGGATATAGATCAGATAAGATCGACCTTACAGGCGTAGCTTAAGGGTGCATGATCCTGAGAGTATCGCGCCCGAACGTACCTTAATAGGGACATCGACTGAATTCACTCGCGAATTCGAAGACTCGAATGGCTGGCTATTTCGTGACAGTTTGACACCAAACGGATACGTTCCTCAATAAGCAAGCCGGTGTCAGTCCTCGGGGAGTTACTCATACAGCTACTCGATCGGGCATCCTGAGTTCTACTCCCAACTCCCATTGTTCCGCTCCGCAACGTCAAGAGCCACCAAAAAGCGCGTAGTCGCTCTGTAAAAAGGTCGTCGGCAAGATCAACCAAGGTGAAACGTTTCCTCGTCATCTCGACGGCATATTCCCACACCGTGCGGTGTTTATCCACCATGCCTGCCCCACTGCCTGATTTGATGCCCTCCAGAGTCTCTTTGCTTACACCGGCTTTTAGCGCGAGGGGAACACGGTGATCCCATGCTGCTCGCGCGAAATGAAATTGGGGATGACCAGACACGCGTCACAGTCCGCCAACAAAGGCGGGCCTTCAAGCTAACATACCGTACAGTGCCCCGTTTAGCGTCGCGACTGTGCAGATAATGATTTCTTTCACATCATCGGAAAGCGACGTTTGGGTGCGGATGGCGCCAAGAAACGAGCTCCAACCCGCAGCATAGGGCGCCGAGTGCAGAAGAGCAAGGTCGAGCTCTTGTAGAGCTCCAGGGCGTCGGCGAGCGGAAATAGACGCTATGGTCTCGTCGAGGAAATCGTCCCACGTAGACTTCCCTGGTGAAGGGGGCGTGAAGTGCACATCAGAGACGGATGGATTGAGAGGAGAGGAGCAGATCCGATGCGCCAAACTCAGTTACCGCGCTTCGGGGTGAGAGCGAGTTGCCGGCATTTGCCCATGCACAAATATATTGTAGGTCAAAGCAAAGATACAAATGCACCACAGTCGTTGAAAGCGGGAGGCAAAGACGTAGCTCTGATCAGGATCACGAGCGAGTGAGCCACGTCCAGGTGAAAGTATGGAAGGAGAGCCTGCCAAGACGATTGCAACTGTGGGCAAATGGGTGTAGTAAGAGCAGCAGTAATAGAGTGAGATCGTCTAGAATCGACTGCCACCGTGTTCGGGATTGTAGCCTGGCGAAGGAGAAGTATCGGTTGAACAGTCAGCACAGGCGTGCTCCGATGACACGCACGTATAGCTCAAACCCCAGCGTATCTGGCGATATGTTGCTTTGCAGACCCAGCAGCTTGCATATGATGATCGAGGCCACAGATGTCTTTCATCAGGAATGTCCGTGGCATTGTCGCGCGCGGCATTGTCTGCGAGGCAGATATATATGAGGCGAGGGCGATAGCATCCACCCAGCAGATCTTTTTGTCCAGAATGAGCGCCAGCACGTCCAAACGAAACCGCGTAAAGATTAAAAGAAGGGTGTCAGGAATGGTCGAACGCATCTTCCGTCCTAAGGTCAGCCACTTCACTGCCCATAAAGTCATGCTCATGTGACGCCGTCAGCGTTCCGCCCGCCGTGCCCCCAATGGGGTCGACCTCCCACCCGACACCGGTGACGAGCCTTTGCTCTTTGCCTCGTCCGATGCATACGACACGAGTGTCACCTCCTCCGACATAGACCACGGAACTCCGGCGATTCAAAACGCCGTCGCTCCGGAATGCGTGTCTCCTGAGGTGGAGGAGTTCAGTGCGGCAGAGGGTGAAGTGTCGGGGACTCCGTCAGAACGCGAAAGTGCGGCCCACGACAGCGACGGAGGCTCCAGTATTATGGGCGTGGCAGGATGGACTGAGGCTGGAGGGCTATCCATCTGGTCGGAGCCATCAAGTTCGGAACACGACAGCCACGAAAGCTCCCCGCCCTCGGCCTCGGGCAGCTCCTCAATCCTGCAGAACCTCGACATCCTAATCGAACTTGCGGATGCAGTGAATTTGCACACTTCACCACCGCATTGCAATATGGATATGCAGGTCGTTGTGTTCAAGTCTCCATTCACTATCCCCGTGTCATTCGTGCCACATCTCCACGCGAAGATGTCCTTCCAATTGACGTGGTGGCTCCGAACAGTCCCAACTCTTGCTATGTAACGCTGTCCCGATGATTCCAAGAAATAATAATATAATACATCCTACCGTGTTCGTGCCGCCGTTGACTGCAACCCTAATCACCCCGGGTCTCATCTACCGCCCGGATGAGAACCTCGATCTTGGCGGAGCGAGGCTTGATAGTACACGGGAACGGCTTGGGATGGCTGATGATGCCACTTGTATGCTCCACGACAGGCTCCAGGACGCGTCCAGTGTCGTCAACCGACTTGCTGATATCAAATGCGGCCAGTGACATCGCGCACGCCAGGAAGACGGACGAATCACCCAACGCCTGACCTAGAGGTAAGATGATATGACTGATATCAGCGACGGCCGACAGCAACTGACAGAAGGGACATACCTGGGCAGACGCGTCGCCCGAACCCGAAGCAGAAAGAACGTGGATCTGGCTCTGCTGGTTTTCCTGGTGAAGCGATGAACCGTAACGGATCAAATGTCATGGGGTCTTTGTATGTCCTAGGGTCATGCAAGAAGCCCCTATACACGGCACATTCAGATCTTGAACTGTTTGAGTTTAACTATGTTAAACCGTGATGCGTACCAAATATTCGCAATGACTACTGTGCCCTTGGGTATGAAGTATCCGTCGTGGATATCGTCCTCCCTCACAACGTGCGGAAGACCTTGCAAGAACGCGGATCAGCGTGGCGACCCAATTAGAGCACCAGTGTGTACCGAACCTTGCGGAGCCACGGGATGCCACCGGAATACCTCCTTCACCAGGGCATCCGTGTACGGTAGATTTGGTCGGTCAGCGAGCGTCGGCAGTCGGTCAGTACCGACCACGCTGTCAATCTCGGCCTGCGCCTTCTTCTGGATATCTGGATACAACGTCATGAGGAGGTAGAAATTGTACTCAGCCTGTGGGTTGCTTCAATATGTGCAGACATAGTATGCAGCAGCGAGCGATTAACTTACAGCGACGGACTGGGAAGTAGGCACAATCAAACTCATGCATCGGGCTTTGACAATGTTCACGGGACAAGTACTCACCGTATCCGCTCCTCCTATGGATCGGGCATGAGCATCATGCTCTCAACGGATTCCTAGCATGAATAACTCACCGCCGTATAGATCAAGCGAACCCCATTTGACGAGCTCCTCCGTGTACGGAACACCGCCCTCTGCTAGTCTCTCCAAGTATATTGACGTGTACGATCGAGGTGCCTTTCCTGCGGCCTTGGCCCGAGATGAATCATGCAGCGCCGTTACCTGGGGTGATGAGGGTCTCGCACCATCTGTCCCCTCACGAACGCGAGAGGGGCGTTGACAGACTCAAGCAGCCTACGACGCATTTCTCTGGCGCTCTTTTTGAAGCCCATGCCCGGTAGCCACCCAGGAAGGTGTGCAACTGGCGCCTTTCGGTGAATGCGAGAATTCGTACAAAGGGAGGGTACTCACGAAACGGTATGGCATCAACGAGGTAACGTCCTGGAGTTGTGACCTCGCCGAACTCGTCCATCACGCGTTCAATGCGGGAAATCATAGGATCTTCGCCCTCCACGACGTCGTACCCATGGCATATCTTGATAATGATTGCCCCTGCCAGCCTAGTTGATATTCATATGACCGAAATGAGCATCTACTCGGTGTTGCAGATCACCAACATACTTGCGAATGTGCCTGGGGAGGTTGGAGGGATCATCCAGCACCCTCAGGAGGAAACGGTGCGTTTCACGCTCTTCAATGGGAGCAAACCCCGCTAGGTTATCCCTTCCCGCCAATATACCTGACATAAATTTTAGAGACCATCTCGTGGGATAGTAGTTTCGTGGGCGAACACGGACCATGGAACAGCCGTCTGAACTGCCTGAAACGCTCGTCAGCTGACCGGAGCGTGATATGCTGGTCATGGCCGACAAGCTCTCCAGCCATCACCATCCGTGGTCGGTCACTGTAGATGTTGGACTTCTTATCTGAAGGTCCCTCGTCAGCGAAGTTTAGTCGAAATCGGCTACTGAGGACTAACCCAGCGTATCGGCAGCCACTCGTGACGAGTTCAGGATGAGCATTTTCTGTCCGAGGACATCCACCATCGCCATATCACCTGGCAGGAGTGAGGAGTTGTACATGGTGTTGAGGACGGGAACGTAGAACAAATCAGGCCCCCCATACCGTGTTCTGCTCCCCATTCTGTGTACGTCTTCCATTCTTGCTCCTTCGGTAGCTGCAGGAGGTTTCCAATACCGGGGAGTCCTTTAGGTCCCGGCGGGTATGAAGCAGGGAGGCGTTTCCTCGTCAAGAAGTGTTTGGCCAAGTAGATCGCAAAGGCCACCACAGACACGTCGAGGACGCGGACCTTGGAGAGCACATCTTGAAAGCGAATGATGTTCATTTCCTTGAGCATGCTAAATGACGTGCTGGGATAGGATGGTCCGCCGAAGGTAAGCATGACACCATATTCATAGTCCCAGCCCTAACTTCAGGCGACCAAGCGTTTCCGCCCGCAGAAATTCCCATGAGGCGGAGCTACGTAGAAGCGAAGGCAAAGGAAGGCAATCAGGAAATGGTTTGCGGTCCCGGATCAGTGCATATCCGCGGTGCATTGGCGTTGGCATGCACCCGTTCTTGGGGAGGTTCAGAGTGCGGGCTTTCAGATCTTCCGACTTCAATACTGAAGTATGTAGACGTGTCTCCATAATCCGCATGTCATTTTACAGCGGTATATGATTGTCTCCCGCGGGCTTTCAGGCCGTCTTCCGCGGCGTCAGGCCAGAGCGTTGTCGATCATCGGAGGGAGGACCGGACCGTGATGTCGGGAGCAATCTCACTGCGGTCAATCGTGGCGAATCTGCTTCCGGCCTTGTGCGAATGTGGAAAATAGGAAATACATGTGATGCCCGGATTACGTTCGTTGACAATACACTGAACAACAGGGAATGCGTTAAATGGTGCTCCCTCCAGCCTTCTTATCTGTATACGACTTCAATCTGTACAGATGTCAATTAGACATGGGAGAGACTACAGCAACAACAACGATTCAAGCATTCACCTTTGGTAATCCCGTTCAACCTTGGCCTTATCATTCTTTTTCCTCTTCTCTCCTCCTTCATCCCCGCTACCTCCGCCGCCCTTCTTCTTCTCCTTTCTCGCGCGCCGCTTCTGTTCTTTCTCCAGAGTCTCATCCATGGCAAGAATATCCTTGATAGACGGCACGGCGGAGGATGCCAGAGGCTGCAACCGCATTGGTTGTTCTTCGGAGTCTTCCTCCTCCGGAGCCTTTTGCTCTGCCTGTTGTGGTGAACGAGATCCGCCCGCCAATTTCACCTCTGATAGCGCTGGGAGTAAAGGCGCTTCCTGTTCCGCTTCGGGCTCGTCATCGTCAAACCAGCCTTTTCGTTTACGAGGTGGGGCAGTTTCCGGTGGTCCGCTCTGTTCCTTTGAGCCATGATCCTGCGCATCATGGTTCTCCCGAGGGTCATCTTCATCCTCGTCATCTTCATCACCGAGATTGAGCCCTTCGTACTCCCCAGCGCCCGCGAAGATGTCAAAGTCTTCATCGACGGGCTCGTGCTCGTGCTCTGGGGGCGGCGGTGCAGGTGCAGGTGCCGATGTCGATGTCATCCCTTCTGCGGGCGTCGTCTCTGCCTTCGTCTCGTCACCCTTGCCCTCCTCGACCTTTCTCTTCTTTTTCTTCTTCTTGCCTTCGCCTTCCTCCTTGCCCTTCTTCCTCTTCGCCTTATCATCTGCCTGCCCTATGGGTTTGAACCCAATTGGCTTGAATTTGCCCTCCTTCTTTTTCGCCTCTGGCGGGTCAACCTTTTTCTCCTCTTTCTCCTGTTCCGGCTCGACACCCGAGCCATCTCCCGCCTGGTCCGTCGTTCTCCGCTCCTTGAGCTGCTTCAACACGTCCGCCCTTGATCGCTTCTTTGTGGTTTCCACCTCTCTGAATACTTGCTCTAGCTCTTCGTCATCTTGCGTTGCTGACGTCTGGGCTTCCTTCGCCTTGTTTTGTTCGAGCAGAGAGTAGTCGAGACCCTTGACGAGAACAGAGTGTTCGCTATTGCCCCCAAGATACCGTCGCTTCTCGTCTAACTGTATCAAACGTGTTGTTGAGCGTCTGAAACACATTCCTTACAGCGATGAACGCACCGAGCCCTTGTCCTCCTCGTTCGCATGCTGCTTCTCGAAGTCCTCTAATAGTGCTTCCACCTGGATGAGACACGTCAGATGCATGGAGCGACACCAGACGCGAGTGGTACAGGACGTACATGCGCAAAGTCGTTACCGCCGCCCGTCCGACGCTCTGCAGCACGATCACGGTACTTTCCGTCCGCACCTTTGACTTTGCGAGGTTTGAAGGCGGGCTGCGACGGGTCTATCAATTTCGCCTTTCTGACGCGGTTTCGTCAGAATTGAATGAATGTGAACCGCAACAACGGATGTATTCGAACGCACTTGGAAGCGGATGCTGCCGCGGCAAGCAGAGAGCCGCGCGAGGTGGATGCCCTGCTGGCTACCGGTCTAGGCGTTTGCAGCAGCTTTCTGAACGATTCCTGATTATGAATCGCATCAATTGCATGAGATGACCTGCGTATGATCAGACGAACTTGGTCCATGAAATCTGCGGCAGCGGTTGCAGGCAAGCCTGTGACCGCGGTGGCTGTGCCCGTATCCCTCTTCGCTGGAGCTTTCGGTCTGCATTCACGGTTGAACTTGTGCGACAGTGAGGCTCCAAATCAAGAACGGCGTGGCTGGTCATTGTCATAGACCCACTTTCTTAACCATGTTTGCCCAAGTTCTCCTCTTCCTGGCTACCCTCAGCCTGCTACATGGTTAGCCCAAGCCTACGTTGTCGGTATCCATTGGCTCATACATTCTAAAGCCGCGTATTCCGCCTACGAGCGTTAGTGCAGAAGTTCTTAAAATCTTACATGACAGCTGGAATATGCTGTATATCCAGATTTGTCACATCTCAAAGCCCTTGGAAAACCCGAGGGAGCTTTACCTTCGGACGTGAGTGCTTCCTCTTCGTGAGAGTCAACTAGAATCCCCTGTGCTGAATACCGCCGTATACGTAGGTCGCTGTCGAAGCGATTGTATCTCTCGTGTTGGGGACAATCGGGGCGTCCATGAGGGCGCCAACGCTGAAGGAAATAACATGGGCGAGCGAAATGAAGACAAGGTGCGCAGAGGTTTGCACTGTCCACCGGATTACGCTTACAGTTAGCTTTAGAACGGTGGAGGAGATGAACACAAGATTAGGCTTCGTGCAGTGGGGTCAGCATACGACGAAGTCATGATGTACAGTATGCGGGCATATTAGAGGCGCCTTTCTAACGAAGACGAGACTATTCAACATTGGCCTAGTCGTTTGGCATCAATGTCCCGATCATCACTTCGCGCTCGTTATGGAAGCAATCACAGAGCTTCCTGAAGGGCCTTACCTCAGGATGCTGATCGAGGCACTCTAGGATTCAAGACTTCAAATCACGGCTGATCAGACATGAAGGTGCTTTACCCTACTACGTATAAATGAAGGCGGATCGATGCTGTGCTGTATAAGGCTTGTATCACGGCACATTCACCGAAGCACCGGATTATCGACATGATCCCCTGCTGGCGTCTCGTGAGCATTGTAATAAATCCATGAGCGCTTAAATTGCTGTCCCTCGTCGGAGCGACTTGAAGCGTGACCTCCGACCTCTGAGAAATCGGACTCGACCGCATCGACCACCTCCTTTGCTGATCATAACCCCTGCCGCCTTTTGACTCTCATTATGATACTGTTGTCACCCCAGTGGTGGTTTTTCCTCTTCACACGGACACCAAACACGCTGCTCCAGGTGATTATCTATTCTCATCATTCCTTGGCACTCTTTGACCTACGCGAGTGCACAGTACCGGCTCCTCATTATCCTCAGCAAGCCATTCTCAGGCGAACGTAACGTTCGGGCCTTTAGATGCGGTATTCCATGGATTGTCAAGTTCAGACGCCGCACGACCAGTACGGAAACCCACGCACTGCAATTCCTCCATGCCACAGGTCTCGACATTCCTATTCCTCGCCTGATCGCGTCGTTTGAGCACGGAGGAGCTACATATACGGTTATGACCCGTCTTCCCGGCATCACTGTTTATGATGCTTGCCGTCAGGGTCCTTTGACACCCGACTTGCAACAGACCATCGTGAAAGAGGTGTCTTCTGTCCTCGAGAAATTGCAGACGCTTCGTCAGCCTGAGGCAGACGCCGGAAAAGTGATGATGAGCGCATCTGGTCATGACCTCCCAGACCCTCTCTTCTTCTTTGAAGAACGATCGGGTCCTTTTCCGTCCCCAGCGGCATTATGGGCTCACCTCGGGACATACTGCATCGTGCAAGAATATGAAAAAGAAGTGGACGAGGACACTCGAGCGATCATGGCTGCGGACCCCATTCGATACGTGCACGCAGACTTACGGATGTACAACGTGTTGATACACGATGGTCACGTATCTGGTTTCATTGACTGGGAGGATTCCGGCTGGTACCCGTCATCCTGGCAGGTCCATGCTATGCGATGGCTTTGTCCGGGATGCGAACTGTTCTGGCTGCTCTACTGGCGCCACGAATATCGGTTCTCACCAGAGGCGGAAGCTGCATACACAGCGTCTCATAAGTTCCTCATTCATTCGCCTGTTTGACATCAACGCGTTTGCCATTCCCGACATGTTCCGGTATGAACGTTGTGCTCGACGATCTGTATGTACCAGCCGTGGCTTCTGTATATGAACAAGCGATTTGGTGATCAGCCCTGGGTAGTTCGCAAGCTCAAGAACATTATATTTCAGGAACCTCAACGCGTGGAGATATAGCTACACTTGCAAGCCGCAGACGCTGGACTAGAATCCCTTATATCGGCATGACTTGATTCAACGCAATACGCTGATCTCACTCGAGAACAACTGAAACTCGTCCGCCGTTGTTACTACATATATACAATGGAGTTGGAACTTCGAGTTGATATCCGTAGAACGTGCCTGTCTGGCAACCAAATGGCCGTCGTTCCCCGCGGTGCCTTACACAGCAAGGATGGAAGACTTTCTGTTGCGGTTTATGCCATCCGCGTCACCCTTGCCGAGAGAATGCGGCTTGATCTCCAAGACGTTCCCTGCTCGACTGCCATCGGCTGCGGATGCGTTCGTTTCATCTGTCCTCCTAGACTTTAACTCTGATAGCATCACAATATCTTGATGATTATCGATTGCTGCGCGGACGGCGGACCGGCAGTTGAGGCTGTATAGACATTCAGCACCTGGCCCCGCCAGTCCAGTTCATGATCATGTCCCACTTACAGCGACATGAAAGAGCAGGAGTAAACTACATATATGCGTCAGCAAGAGAACACTTCCAATCCCCGACTTGAAGCAGACGTGCCTCTGACAAGAACAAACCAGAATGGCATGTAGAGGAACTTGTTATGACGTGTCACCAGCTATATGCATCGGTAGTAAGTAACGAATATCAATATTGTCACCACAGCATGGGTAATAGAACATACCACTATCAGTGTTGTTGTAGCGCATACACTACTTTCGATCGTCAGCGTCCCACAATATTTGACCGAATATAAGGGTTTTTACGTGGTGACCAATCCTGCGCACGATCATCATCGTTAGATGATGAGGTATCATTCTCTGGAAGCTTTGCTCACCTGTGTTTAAGGCGTACGTTACAAGCATACTGATTGCGCGGTTTGTCCTGCAGCGACAACAGTTGGAGCGTCTAGGGGATTAGCTGGCTGAAATCAACTCACTTGCTAAAACTGGTTCTGTTGCGGTTCAGGTAAAAGACCATGCCCGAAGCGATCATGGTATCGCATACTACCGCTGTGACCAGGCTGCTGATAGCCCATCCCTGGAGTTGAAAGCGAGGTTATACAAGGAACACGGAACAAGTGCATAATATTTACAAGGATCTTATACTGAGATATGATGGTTTCAATTTGAAACCTAGTGTAAGCATGAGCGGGGATGTGCATCTGACCATGAAATCATCCTGCTTACCCAACTATTGTTCCTCCTTTTCCAGGTGGGACGGAGTTAGCTCGATTTTTCGAGTACTACGTATATTGCGTACCTAGTGCCTCAGCTATTGTCCAAGAAATGGTTAAGCAAGTGACAACGGCCCGATCAACGGAGCGCACTCACCCATATCTCCAGCTGATAGAGCGACCTTCAGTCGTGTTTTGAGTATAGTTAATGAATGAGCGATGAGTCCTCACGTACAATCATCAACGGCAGCCAGATATTGCGCCGACCACTGACTATGTTGTGATACCCATGGCTCAGCAATGTCAAATTACGGTCGTTGGTGTTAGTACGCTTACGTTGATAGATCCGGTGGGCAAAAAACCTAGCCAGTGACATCGGTACAATTGCTGAGTTCATGGCGGTCAAGGACTCACATCTTTATGCATACACCGATGAAATTCTGTAAGTGCCCAGTCAGCTATTACCCTCCGCCCGCTAGACAAAGATATATCTCACTCCGAGGGCCACTTGCAACTATCGAACGGTGAGCCTGCGTACAACTTTCATGACAGAATGAACAAACCAGTAGAGACCTGAATTCTCGTGTCAGATACCATAAAGCATACAGACGTATTCCCCACATACCAAATGGGGCGGGTCAGAGTCAGATACTCGCCAAAGCTTGATACACAGTAATAGTAGATAGCGTGGGAGACAAGCGCGAGATGCAGAGTGTCAGAAACCCTAAGAGAAGCAATGAGTCGTATACTTGCAATCCTATGTTGTAAGTACCATAGGAACCCAACCTAGTACGGAGTATCTTATTGTCATTTCGGTACTAAGAGCGAGCAGAATAATTTCTCACAAATGATCTGAGGAAGAAACCATCCCTTTCGGAGTGCTCTGTGTAGTAGAGATACACCTGCAGGCACGTTATACCATAAACACTGCGAGATTTTAGGCATCGCCGTTGGTAATATATATTTGACCACCGAGACTTACACCGCAGAAGCAATCACACCGACTAGTAACGCACCCAAAGAGTCGTTCAAAGCGATTATCGGCATTGACGGAGTTGGGAGCGAAGTCATCAAGCGAGGTTGTTTATCTTTATAGTATGAGCACCGTGGAGCAGTTGCTCGGAATAACCAAGGAACGTACAGCTTTCAACGCCAGAGGCAAATCTCTGAGCCGGTTGAATGGCTGCCCAGGCATCCTCCGATCCTTGCCGGATGGGACTAAAGTGTGGAAGGCTACTATCGCCGGAAATTGAACGCGCAACCAAGAGGAAGGTCGCAGAGGGACTGATCTCGTGAACACAGACACCGGCGTTCTATAACCATCTCAGATTCCCGACTGATCTTCCATTGAGGTGGTGCCATTTACCGTACCTGTGCGGCGCGGAAACTTCGCTCATTTCAGTAACTTCATGAACACTGTTCCGCTCAGACATTTGCAGGTTACGGCATGGCCTATTCTTCTGGGTATTTTCAGATGATGCTGATTGTGAAAATTGCAATGCATGCTGGCCCGATGATCGCATCCAATGCATCTAACGGTTTCGTGTACGAGATGATCATAGGAAGTGCGATGGCGCTCTGTTAGATGAGTCGGATGATTCATGGTCTAGATCAGGCGCGTGTCGCACAGAGTGTCATCAGTTCCTCGCGTTAGGAATTGTACCGGGTTTGGTAAAAGGTTGTATAGCCATCGTGTAAACTGTCTTCAACTCCATGGACTGTTCAGTAATCGTAAATTTGGGGTATAGTTGCACCCTATGCACATAGAAACGTCCGTTCCATAAGTTCCAGGAAGCGGTGTTTATCGCACGGCTGTGCGTGAGCCATCCAGAGAAGCGAACGTTCAATTCAACAATCAGAAGTAGCGATTCGCCCAGCGCCAGAAATCTCCGGGACGCAACACATCTCGCCGGAGCAGACTTCAGTCGAACGAGCAAAAGGTAATCTTGTTGCCTGTGGTATAGGGTAGACGACGTTGGGTATTCAATGCCGGCATTCAACGTATAGGCCTCAGGAGACAAAGGAGGAGGTGGCCAGAGCGGTACTGTCTGGGCGCCGAGCGTGTGGCAGTGTGTTTGAACAACGCCACGGTCTTGCGCTACGACGGTCCATCACCCTTCATCGCACCGCTACGATTGCCATGGACAGCGACGATGACTTCAAGACTGCCACTCGATCGGTCCCGTCTGATGCGAAAGGGAAGGGGAGAGCAGTGGAACCTGCTGAGGAACACGAACTCGATAATCTCCCCTGGTACGTTAGCACATTAACCGCGACAAGGACGCGTTCTTGACGTGTTTTTCTGCGTGACAGGGTGGAGAAATATCGCCCAGTGACCTTGGATGACGTTGTATCGCATAAGGATATTACTTGCACCAGTGAGGCCGCGTCTATCATTATGCTCTGATTTGGTGGGGAATTGACGGTGACAGCTTGCAGTCGAGAACTTTATACAGAAGAACCGATTGCCTCACCTCCTCTTCTACGGACCGCCTGGAACAGGGAAGACATCTACGATTCTCGCAGTAGCCCGCCGAATATACGGAGATGACTTCCGGAAACAAATCCTAGAGGTGCGCGATGCCCAATGTGTCACCTACTCTCATGCCTGAATAGCGCACCTCTCTAGCTGAACGCGTCGGACGACCGTGGCATTGATGTTGTTCGCGAACAAATCAAACAGTTCGCCGAAACCCGCACGCTATTCTCAAAGGGCTACAAGCTTATCATCCTCGATGAAGCGGACATGATGACACAGGCCGCGCAGGCTGCGCTCCGCCGCGTGATAGAGCAGTACACGAAGAACGTTCGATTTTGCATTATTTGTAACTATGTGAACAAGATTACGCCAGCGATTCAAAGTCGTTGTACCCGATTCCGATTTTCACCACTCCCGATCCCGGAGGTAGAGAGGCGAGTGCAGACAGTCGTCGACGCCGAAGGGTGCGTATAGCAGCATGAGTTACAGTGTATCATGCTGATTGTGGCGTTGTCTAGAGTACAGCTGAGGGAAGACGGAAAGAAAGCGCTGCTCAAGCTTTCCAAAGGAGACATGCGACGAGCATTGAACGTCCTTCAGGCGTGCCATGCTGCATACGACGAGATTGGAGAGACAGAAATCTACAATTGCACTGGCAACCCACATCCGTCCGACATTGAAACCATCGTGAATTCAATGCTAGCGGACGAGTTCACCACGTCGTACCAAAGTGGTTTGTCCCTGCTGATAACGGGATACCGTACTGACCATTTGCGCTGCCCAGTGATCAATGCCTTGAAGACGGAGCGTGGTCTTGCGCTCCAAGACCTGCTAGCTGGTGCCTTCGACTACATTGAAACCATTGAGCTAAAGCCTCATGCGCGGGCATATCTCCTTGACCACTTGGCCACAACGGAGTGCGTATACTGCTCTAGTCTCATCCCCTCTGGAGGTTGACCTACGCGTAATGTCTGAAGATATCGACTATCGACGGGGGGAAGCGAAAAGATTCAGCTCACAGCGCTGCTTGGCGCCTTTAAGGAGATGGTCGAGCTCCAAGCGAAGTGACTGTAGAAACTCCTTGTTATCCCTCTTGATCAGTATGCGTGTTCCTTGTACCAGCCGTTCAGTATTCTCCAATATGCCGATTGCTTCGTAATGTGATACATAAGGTGCGGACTGGCTGATACTGAGAAAATAGTAGAGAATGTCGTGTGGATGACATGAGCAGGAACATGTAAATCAAGATCAATGCGATGTAGGATGTCCGCTTAGTATCCTATGGATTGTATTCGCGCGGAGAGGTGTGTCCGCAAACAACGCCTTGACAAGTTTGACGAGCTCGTCCACCTTGAAATCGACCAGAGCCCCCTGGTCAAAGAGATACGTGACATCCGCAAGAGATGCTTCCTAAGCGTGGCTCAGCATCTGAGTATACGATGAACAATATGAATACGTACCAGTAACTCGGAGAGATATGAATACTTGAGCCAAGAAGGAACATGTGCAACGACAAGCGAAGGCTCTTCCGGATTGTCAAGGAACAGACCTTCAAGTGCGTTCAGGATCTTGCATAGTTCGCTGAGCCGGTGCGACTCGAGCTCGGGAATATCGTCCAGAGCTAAGACATCCGCGAGAATGCGGCGCAGAGCGTGTTCGACCAGTGCACCCAGTGCCGCGTGGTATTTGGTCTTCGTCAGTACACCCTGTAAGTCCCAGAAACGACGTTAAGCTATGGTAAGTAAACGAGACGCAGGTATAACGGACCTTCCATTGATGCCCGACAGTCCGTATGTCTCGTAATACACGACCGACGACGTTCTCGCATGCATCGAAGCGCACCTGATCCGCGAGATTGGTGAAACCATCAGTTTCTGCAAGGGCTGCGTCGATGGCGCTTTCTTGGCGTTCCTACATTACGTCGTAAGCCTGACGAGCAAACTGCAGTGCTGTACGCCTGTAATGCAAAGACGCACGATCGTCGCCTCAAAATACCACGTGCACAACGCCTCCAGCCGCGATTTGCACTCTTGTATCCTCTCAGTAGTCGAGGTGTCGAGTTTATGGTCTCCTTTCTCGACTTTGGCGACCTCTGAGCTCAGCCAGAGGCAGTCATTAGAGAAACGCATGGCTTTTCCCGAGGCTTTACGCAACTCTTGATCGTGCTTTACGGGGTACAGTGCACGGAATAGGTCGAGAACCGCGGGAGCCGATTGGAGCAGCAGCGACCCGGGTGTTGAGGCAGAGGATGAAGTCGAGTCGAAGACGTGCGATGCGGACAAAGCTTTCCCTTCGTCCAATATGGAGTGAAATAAGGCGACAATTTCCTTAGATCGGGCGGAGACGAGGTAGGTCTCCTTGATGGGAACCGCGACGGCTATGTTATGCGGCCGGTGGTCCTGCTTGAAGTGAGATGATGGATGTGGTGGGGTCTTCGTGGGTGGACTCCTCGTGAAGACGGCTGGGTTAGGCACGGGGGAGGGAGCTGGCGACGGGGACGGGGACGGGGACGGGAAGAAGGTCGGCATTGGAGATGGGACAGGCGACGGTGCATTGCTGCCGCCCTTGCCTTTCATCGCAAGCTTCTCCAACCGCGTCGCGCGCTTCGGCGGGGCGGCCGGTTGGGGCACGGGGACAGCCACAGGAGCGGCTGGAGGTGGTGTTGATTCCGTTTTCAGCGGCGGCAACACAGGCGCAGTTTTCGCATCGACAGGCGGATCTTCCCATGGATCGTCCCATGGATCGTCGACCGCAGTGGCGTCATCGCTGGTACCGTTGCTTGCAGAATCATCGTTGACAACTGGCGCGTTTTCAAGTCGGGATACGGGTACTGTGTTCTCCTCGTTATCCTCCCAACCCCATGCGTCGGCAGGATCGTCCTCTGCAGGTTGAGGTTCACCATGTCCATTAGCGCTCTGGTCCTGAGCAGCCGTTGCTGTTGTAGAGGGCAGCGTCGGAGGTTCTTCTGGCACATCGTCATCGAATCCCCAACCGTCGTCGTCTGCTGATACCTCGGGGTGCCCGTTGGTGGCAACAGATGCAGCATGCTGCGATCTGTCTTCCGGCCTCCATTCGTCTTCATCCTCATGTTCCACCTGCACGTCCTGCTGAACCGGAATCACGTCCGATTTCACTGGACGTGTCACCGTCACCAGTTCCGCTCGGAACGTCGCGTCATGACCGGCTGCAGTGATGATAGCCCTGGCGCGGTCAAGCAGGTCCACGCGCCGTTTGCGCTCGTAGTGCACACCCACGGAATCAACCCAATGGGTCACTTCACCGTCCGAGGTGTCCTTCAAAACACGCTCGACGTAACCCGCCTCGAACTGACGCGACTTCCGGGCGAGCTCGAGGAAGGGGGGTAAAGCGGCAAGCGATGAAGGCAAAGCTGGAATGAGGAGCTTTTGCAGCAGAGCAGTGGTTAGCGGTTTCGTGAGGGACTGTGGGAAAGTGGTTGCAGCGGGGTCGGGCAAGGCGGGAAAAAAGTGATTCGACAGGAAGGTAAAAACGGTCGCAAGGTTATCAAGTCGAGTGGACAGGTCCTCAGAATTTGGCGGGGAGGGGTAGAGGGTCAAGGTGTGCGAGCTTCCATCAGGCGAGGTGTTGATGGTGATGGAGGTGGGTTGGCTGAGCACGCGTTCAACGTATTGCGAGGTGAGCGCGCGACGCAAGACGCTTGTGTGCGATGCAAGGGAGGCCACATTAAGGGACGAAAGAATCTCGGAGAGAGTTATGGTAGTTTCGGAATGCAGGACTGCAGAGACGGTGAATACATCGTTAAGTTTCTGGCTATGGACGACTTCACCTTTCACGGAAGAACAAATTGTCATTTCAGCAGGAGAGACGTTGACGCTGCGAGAGTATGCTTCGTTCAGAAGCTCTTCCGTCCGATCTTTCAGAACGCGGGATTTGCGCTGCCACATTTCAGACCAGGGCCGTTTTGTCTTTGGAGCACGAGGAACACATACCTGAAGCTCTTTCAGTATCTCTGTCCTATTCAAAGGAGCAGGTGCTCCAGATATCAACGCCTCCACTGACGTCGAATTCCGGACGGCGTCTGCAAGTCGTCCATCCATTGTTGACTGGGACAGTTCTTGAAAGGCAACTCGACAGCGATCCAGGTGTGCAAGACATTGATGTGTTGTATGCGCATTGGCGGCATCTTGGGCGAGGGAAGCACGCTCCCGCAAAGCACGCAGAAGCTTGGGCATAAGACCTGTCTGCGAGCCACGTTATAACGGCCAATGTAAGAGGTGGATAACATACCTCTTCAGCCGATAACGAATGCTCCAGAACCTCGACGTTCGTCGATAATGCATGCAAACGCTCTTGAACTGACTTCGCCGACAGCAGTTGCCGGGTGAAAGCTGCGTGGTCAACATGTACACGCTCATGTATCCGAGTCTAAAATCTTTAGTTATCGCTTTTTATAGCATTCCAATCATGAAATGTAGCAAGTACTCTTGTTTGGTGTATGGATTCGTCGAGTTCTTCGAGCCATTGCGACGCTGCTGTTGCGGTCAGAGTCTTGCTCGTTGTCTCTGAAACCTTCGTTAAGATTCTTGTTGAGATATCTGGCGGGTTTCCAGCGCGAGGAAGATGACTGGGTATTGGGAACGCCATAGAATACAGAGATGTGTATGCTGCCCGGGCTCGGCACGACCAGCGCGAAGGAGAGGGTACCAGGTACAGCCAGGCTCACCCCACGTCACGGACAGTGAAATTGGCGGGATGACAGTGACTTGGGCGTGCGACAAATGTGAGCCACGTGCGTCGAGACAGCATCCTCCGACTCTGCTCTGACCAGAGATCCTCAGCGCTCGAAGACTATGACGGCCGCTCTATTCTCTGGCAATTACTTATGAGGCTGCAAACAGATCATGCGCCGAGGTAACAGATCCTACAGCAGATCTACACCATGGCCTCCATAGCACCAGTTTCCTCCTCTGTTCCCGGCCTTGAAAAACATACGAACCACCAGTCTTCTGTCGTCGCGAGCCCGAGTGAGCCGAGGTGCACGTCAATCATCTTTGACCTCGGAGACGTCCTCTTCACTTGGTCTGCCGAGACTAAAACCTCCATCTCCCCGAGGCTTCTCTATGAAATCCTCCGATCGTCAACCTGGAACGCGTACGAACGGGGCGACGTCGGAGAGGACGAGTGCTACGCACTGGTCGCGGATCAGTTCCACGTGCCTGCATCCGAGGTGGCAGCCGCCTTCCAAGGGGCACGAGATTCCTTGGTCGGAAGCCCGGACATGATCAACATGATCCGCGAGCTCAAGAGCTCCGCGCCCGACCTGCGTGTGTTCGCCATGTCCAACATCTCGGCCCCGGATTGGGAGGTGCTGAAGGAGAAGGCGACGCAGGAGGAGTGGGCGCTGTTCGATCGTGTATTCACGTCCGCCGAAGCGCGCGAGCGGAAGCCCGAGCTAGGGTTCTATCGTCAGGTCATCGAGGGTACGGGGGTAGATCCAACAAAGACGGTGTTCGTCGACGACAAGCTGGAGAATGTTCAGAGCGCTCGTGAACTAGGCATTACTGGCATAGTTTTTGACTCCTTCGAATCCGTCTCGAAACAGTTGTTGGATCTAGTCGTGGAGAAGAGGGATTGACGTAAAGTCCCCAGTATACTGGACCACGCACGCCTTGCCTTCTCATGTATATCCAAGTATCAAGATATGGCTTTCATAGTCGTTATAGAGAAAGCTCTACCAGCTCCGATAATTTACCCAAAATACCCAAAGCGGTGATTGCGATATCTGAACTTATAAGATCGCTTAGGAAGGGGGAACCGGGGCTACGGAAGTGACTGGGCCAGGGTCGGAGGAGAGGGTAGGGAACGGCGTCGTCGCACAGGCCTGCTCAACGTCGGCGTGGCTGAATCCAGCCGGGAAGGTGGCAGCCTTCGTGAGCGTCGGTGGTTCGGGGATGAGCTCGGAGCAGTCCACCATGTCCTCGATGTTGTGGCCAAGCACGGACAGCTTGAGCATCGCCGCCTTGAAAGCCGCCTGCATCTTCGCCTGGTTGTTCACCATGCTCTGCCACTCGCACGCCGTGCGCGAGTCGCGGGCGAGCTCCGAGTCGGATTGGAGACGGATCTCGCCGTGTAGGGGTGACTCGACCTCGCCTTGGTTTCCGCCGGTGCCGGGAAATAGCGTGCCGCGGAGCTGGGTTTCAATGAAGAACTGGGTGTCGAACACGCTAGGAGTAGAATCGAATGGCGTGCCGGGGATGCTGGGGTCGACGTGGTCTGCGGCGGCGATGGTGTGCGACGCAAGAAGGGCGACGACCTCGGCAGGAGTGAAGGCACCGGCATCGGCGAAGCGGGCGAGGATGGAGTCCACAGTGTCGAAGGGCTCCGGGACCGTCATGTCGGCGGCGGGCTTTGTGGCCTCCGGGCGACCGAGGAAGAAGTCCAGGCGCGGAGCCCCGGAACAGTTGGAGACGCCGATGGCCCCAGCGAACTGGATGAAGTCGCCGGCCGTGATGTTGTGCTTGGCGATGAAGGGCGACTGAGCGTCGACAATGTCGTCGATACCACCTGCAAGGAATGTCAATTCAATGATCGATCACCAGGATAGAGCGACGAACCATTCGCATGGAAGGCAGTCTCGATATCTGAGAAGATGATCATAGACCCGTCGGCACCTCCGCCAACGCTGTTAGAAATATGATAAGCACGATCAAGTTACTGAGCAGTGAAGTCTTACTCCTTGGACCGAGAGATACCAATGGCATCGTGGAAGGTAAGACGGAGAGACTCGTGAACCTCCTCGCCGCACTCGCCACCATCGAAGAGGTTCTCCTGGATGTCGTCGCGGATGGCAAACAATGCGCAGCAAGCTGCGTTAGTCGCAGAGTTCACGCCGTCGGGGCAGGCAACGCGGCGGGTGATAGCGGCGTTGACCACCTGCGAGGCAACGACGACAGCAAGAGCAGAAAGGAGCTGGAAGGCCATCGGGGAACGATAAGAAGAGTCCGAGATGAGTAGGAGTGGAAAGGCTCGAAAAAGACGAGTATCCTGTCGTTCAGGAGCTACGCTTTCGAGCCTTTATACTCGTCACCGTCGGGCTATAAGAAATGCGCCAAGTATTTCCCTGGACTCTGCTCAAGCTGCGTACCGCGTTGCGATATTGTGCGAACCAGTCTCATACTAGCAAAGGGATTGGGCAGGCAATCCGAGCGTTTCCGTTGGCCAGTGCCAGCGCCGGAGGTGGATCAGGTACGCGAACGGCCCGCCACCGTGCGTAGGTACGGCACGATTCCCAGAGAGAACGACGCCAACACGCGACCGAAGGTGTATTGAATCCGCCGTGTGGGCACGGTGGAGCGAGGGGCCAGCGCCTCGCATTGTCATTCCAGTTCGCGAGCGCGGCGGGGTAAGAGCCACCCGCAGGGAGCACAGCATCCGCGGACACATGTAGGCAGAGTTCTCCCAACATTCTCGGAAGCCAAGATGAACTTGACGAAGAGAAGCTCTTGGCGTGTAGCAGTCAACCTCGGGGCTAAATCGTGGACCACAGATCCGACGTAGCCATGAGATATCCGGTCAGCGCTACAGAGCGCCATGATATGCATTGCAATAGGAGCGTCTACGGTGGCCACACCGAAAGCAACGTAAGTGGAATTGTCGTGAATCGTCGGGATGTCCATAAATGGTCACTCCACGGTTGTTTAACCTGAGAATGTGCTTGTGCGCCAGCGGAAGGGATGCCCAAGGAATGTTATGAATCTACGCAGATCCATTCGCAGGTTGCGATAGTCACAGCGCTGAGGCCGTGAGCTAGCCATGGACGGTACGACGATACGCACGCGGAATGTGAGAGCAACCCGTAAGTCTGGTAATCGTTGTAGCCCGTGTCGTACAATAGCCGGGGAGGTTGCGCTAATGCCGGCACAGCTGCGAAAGTAATGACCACTCCCAGTCGTGACTCGTCGCTCAGCAAATAGCGGGGATGATCGGCACAGTTTCCCGTAGCACATGCACTGGACGTCGTAGGGTGCCAACCGCAAAGCAACGGTCCACGTACTGAAGCAGTTATCGCAGAGTAATTGTTCGCCGAGGGGTGGTCGGTGGGTGGTCCAGTGATGATGTGGATTCGAACATGAGAAGTCGTCGGTTGTGGAGGTAACAGGCCCCGTCGGCGACAGGAAACGCCGCTGGGCCGGTAATCGGTGAGATGACCTGTGCAACAACGATGTCGAGGCCGATTCCCATCGAGAGTGAACTAGTGACCAGTTTTCGACAATACAAGACACCAGCACAAGCATCGATATCGTACTTTTTTTACTGGTGTTGGACAACGCAAGACCGGTTGACGCTGGTTGACGTCACGAACGCGTTACATAAACATCGCTGCACTGACCGCAGAGCAAATACGAAGTCGACGCAATCCCATCGCAATTCATACACTCGCGGTGGATTCGAAAGGGTCTTTATTAGCTTCGGAACTCCTTTCAGAATTCGTCGAAAGCGACATTCGATCTGCGAAGGACGTATATCCAGTGCTGCACAGGTGGCGCGTGCACCCCTTCCCTACTCTGTCCGGATGGCGCGTCTACCGCTTCCTTCCTCTCCACCGTCCAAAACGCGAAGGGTGCTAATCCGCACGCATGGACGTCTCTCTCCTCTGCGTCATGGCATAGAGAATCATTCTTCAAGAACGGAAACCGGTTGCTCGAGTACGAGAGGGCGATCCAGACTCCGTGGGGCTTCACGACCGCTGCGAGATGCAAAGCGAGAACCTCGAGGGCTTCTACTGGCGTACCCGACGACTCTTCGTGTGTGCTTGGCGTGTCCAGGACGTGTGCGTTTTCCCGGCCTTTCATCCATACGTCCGGGGCGCAGGAGATCGCGTCCGACGTGCTTTTGTCGATCACGGCATCGAACCTTGCAACCTGACCTGTCCCACTGCTCTCGGCACGCAACAGACCACGGACGTCTTCCTCCCGCAGCAGGTCCACCCGTTCCCATCGCACCGCCCGCGAACCCTGCTCCTGCTCCTGTTCCTGCCTTCCACGCTCGACGACCGCCTCGGAAAAATCGGTGTTGACGACCACCAGCCCCTTAGCGTCCACAACGTCTGACAACGCCCTCACGACCATGTTGGACAGCCGCGATGTACCCGCCCCTATATGGAGGACGCGCGCCCCGTCGGATGCCTGCGAGTCGCCTCTCGGAGACGTGGAATCCCCCAGGAGCCATGCTCGCAAGACTGGTATCATGGCCTGCCCGTCTCCCAGCCATTCGAAGTTCTCTTCCTTCTCGAACCTTTCATCCCAGTACGCTTTGGATCCGTACTCTGGCGGCATCTTCGTGGATCGTGCTCGATAGCGAGCAGTCTTATTCCAGCACGGCAAAGGTCCATGCGATGCATCACGTGACTGACGGCCGGGTGTGCTTCAGTGCAGTTGATCCCAAGTCGGAGACGACCCCCAAGCTTCCTGCGCTCGGTTGGTGGCAGGTTTATCAACTTTGGCTATCCGTGGTTGGAAGCTACCTCTTCAAAACCATGACGAACCGCCGTTACTTGATACCCCGTCCTCGGTACACGTCTCACCCGATTCATTGTGACACCATGGCATACAGGCCGGGGCATCTTGGCGACGTAGCCTCAATCCGTGTACTGTGCTTTCTGCTCCCTCGCCCCTGCTTATTAGGCCAGGCTGAAGGGCAGGTTTCGCCTTTTGCCCGTTCCCATCTGCTTGCACAGCTCTTTGTCCAGAAGAGACGTTCTGCTTTTGCCAATGCCATACCTTCCAAGTCATCTCGTCCGAAACGCGATTAACCCTCGATGCAGATGCAAAGGCTGTGTTCGAGTGGAAGCGCGAAACAAGCGTGAACATGTACATGACGAACGGCCGAACGCCGAGTTTTTCACGGAATTCGTCCATCGTGTTTACTCAGCATTACGCCGCGTTCCCGATATCGATTTCGGTCTGTTGTCGACGATGTTGCGGCGACGTGTGCAGGTACTCTTGACGCGATGTCGGGACCGCTTGTCGTAAAGATGCTGACCACGCCGTTTTGTACCGTCGCGCGCTGAGTTGAGTCCTTCTCAGGGGGCTCCGCAGACTCCACTTCCAAGCCTTCGCAGGCTTGGCGCCGTTCGCTTTAAATATGAAGTATAGCATCAAGCTCGGTTGCTTGGCGTAGTCGTTTTGGTTTCCTCGAGCCAATGGAATGAGTTGCAGTCTGGCCTGGAGCTGCGCCTGTGGAAGGCGTTGAGTAGCCCAGAGCGGACGAGGGGCCGGGGATCGACGGAGAGCGCGGCCAAAGACATCGCGGCTGTGCGCAGATACAGCGCCATTGGCCGATGACGTCGCTCATCCCCTTCGCTCGGCGCAGCACTAAATAGTAAAACCCGCGCGTGCCCGTCTCCCAACGCACACCACCTCCTCCTCACGACCGCCTCGCTCGATCTGCTCGACGTTACGACCGTTTACGACCACCACCCATCTCATCGCATATCTCCGCCAAGGGGCCTAGTCCAAGCTGCACTCCATGCCCGAGCGGCAGAACCCGCACGCCCAGCCCGGCAACGGTCCCGATTTCGACACGCGGGCCACCACGACCGCCAGCCCCGACCCGACCCTCTCTGACCAGTTCAACGAGAAGACCAAGATGCCCCGGCGATCATCACCGACCGCCACTGCGCACACCGCGGATGACTCGAACTTCACCATCTTCGAAAGTGCTCCACCCCCCCTGAACTACACCATCAAGGAGCACAAGCGCGAGAGAAAGATACTTTTATGGGCGACACTGCTTTTCGTCGAGGCTGGCGTGCTCCCGCTCATCCTTTTCTTCTCACTGCGCTGGGGCGCCCATCTGAGCACAACGAAGAACCTCGCCATTATCACGAGCCTCATCGGCTCCGTGAGCGGGTACAAGTTTGCTACCAGGATGTGGTATCTGTACTTCAACAAGGATGCGAACAATCATCGTCCTATCGGCGCCGGGCGGTGGGGCGTTGACTACTTCCAGTGCGTCCAAGTACATCCCCTATATGCGGTCCCAAATGACGATCTCTCCCAGAGTCATCCTCAGCCTCTGCATGGCTGCCTTCTTCATCCCACTCATCATCGGATCCTCCGTGTAAGTTCTTGTATCTTCGATTGTGAATGTCATCATATTTAACTCCCTTTACAGGTCGCCGGCGGACCCGCGCATAGTCGCGCTCGCCCTCCCATGCGTGATCCTCACCCTGACCCTTCCCCTCTTGATCACCGGCCTCTTCCCACATAGCATCTGCCTGCCCGCCCGCGTCTCCTCCTTCCCCAAATGGGAACCCCTCCCGCCCCTCACCTATTGCTTCGTCGAAGACGTCGTCGCCGTCGACGGCGGCGGCTGCACGGAGTTCCGCCAAGCATGGCGCCTACGCTATGAGGAATCCATCGTTATCCGACGGCTCATTCGCTACACCGCGCTCCTCTGGGGTATCACCGGCCTCGTCGTCGGCGCGGTCCTCATCGCCGTCTCGCGCTTCGCGGGCGTCGACACCGCCTACGGCGTCTGCTACGGCATCCCTTGGCTCTGGGCGATGGTCACCGCCGCGGCAACCGGCGCGTGGACACACCAGGAGCTCGAGCGCGAGAAGAGGGAGTGGGTCGCGACCCCGACGGCGACGCGCGAAGGCCCCGTCCACAAGGAGCATATGCTCCCCATCAAGGAGGGCAAGTACGACCCCCCGCGGATATCGGGCTCGATCGACGGCGGACGCCCGGCGAGGCAGTACTCGATGCCTGCGATGACAACGACGGACAGGGCACATGGCTCCCGTGGACCCTCCATGCCACCGAGCCCCATAGCAGTGACCGACCGGAGGGCACACACATTTGATGTGTGAGAGCCGTCTAACGTCTCTTTGCTTGAGCGGAAAGGTGGTTGGATCTCATGGGCGCCCTGGTTCTCCATCGTGGATAGTGTACATGCTAGAATGTATTTAATAGCTTTACTTTCGATGTTCAACAGAAATCATTCTGATAGTGAGAAACGGTCCGATCGGTCGGAAATTGCAGACAATGCATACGATTCACGGCTCGGTTGCACACACGCATGGATTGCATGGCATGATAGCACATCGTCGCCATACACCATTACACTACATGATCTAAAGGCACTTATGCGGGGGGACGGGTGCCAGGGGTGAAGTGGTAGGTGGTACCGCACTTGCCGCAGTACTGACGGTCCTTGTGGAAGGCCATCTGCACGTTCGCCCACAGTCAGCGCTGAGTCAAATACTGAAGTCGATGGTGTACTCACGAAGACACCAGCACCGCACTCGGCATTGGGGCACTCGCGACGCAGGCGCTTGATCTTGCCGTCGGGGTCGACCTTGTAGTACTTCAAGATCGACATCTTGACCTTCTTGCGCTTGTGCTTGATCTTCTTGGGGGTGGTGTACGTCTTCTTCTTGCGCTTCTTCGCGCCACCACGGAGGCGGAGGACGAGATGAAGGGTCGACTCCTTTTGAATGTTGTAGTCGCTCAGCGTGCGGCCGTCTTCAAGCTGCTTTCCGGCGAAGATCAGACGCTGCTGGTCGGGCGGGATGCTGGAGGAAAAAAAACATGAGGCAACGTCGTGGACCGTGACGACTGTTTGGGAACGTACCCTTCTTTATCCTGGATCTTGGCCTTGACATTGTCGATCGTGTCCGAGGACTCAACCTCGAGGGTGATGGTCTTGCCCGTGAGGGTCTTGACGAAAATCTGCATCTTGCTGTATAAGGCGTTCGTGAGTAACCGCACTTCTATCGATCCTCTATCAGGAGGCAACTTACGATGCGACCAGACGCCTTTGTCTGTCCAACCAAGGAAGGATGGAGTCCTAGACGAAAAGCAAGAGCCGGTGGTTATGGGGGAAAGGAAGTGTGCGATCGGTCGCTGACAGATAGGATGAGAAGCGTGAGATATTAAATAAGGTTCGTCCCACGACGTTAACCTTACACCAAAAAAACTCCGGCGAGACAAACTACTCAGGAGCGGGACCAATACTCAAGCGTCTAGCGTATGGATTGACGAGAAACCCACTGCACGGCAGACTCAGAGTGCGTCGTGACACACCAACGGTATTAGTGTGTTGATATCTCCGCCATGCAAAGATAAGTCAGAAAATGCCAATCATCGTTCCCTGATGTTTCTTTCCTGATCTCGTCAACCAGCCAAGTTAGCGCACTGGCTGAACTAGGTCTGAACACGATCCAATTTTTAGAATTGACTAACCTACACAATCACGATCCCTATCGCCCAGTGTCAGTCAAGGCAATTCTGAACCAAGCTACCTTGCGGAGGCGCTATACGCACGGTACGAAAAGCCCACAAGACCACTCGGATAGCTCATCTTAAGCCGTACCGATACTGCTAGCGGCGTTATCTCTACAACAAAGCCGCTCTCAAGCTTCGCGCCTTTTGCCGTCTATAAATGCAGCTGCTCTCACATTCGCCTCAGTTTTTGACCTGCCGGCTCTCTTGCGCCTTTCGCCCGTGGTATCCCGCCCGGATCTTTCGACGCATGACTGAACTATCTTCAGGCTTCGTTCACACCCGACCTATACCGTTTACAGCCAGCCCTGGGCGTAGGGCTAGGCTTCCGAATGCCCTTCACCCCACTCCTGCTCGTCGGCACGATCCCGCATCCTGGTCTCCGTGGGATTTCAGACTGAGATGCTAAACAGTACCTTCTTGGGCGATGAACGTCTTTCCTTGTTTTGCGGGACGAAGGGTAGTCCGACGTTACGGGTCGCAACACCACCAGTAGATCTATTGGAATCTGTAGGAAGCTCGCAGCTGGTGGAATCCCTAGACCTTGTACTTCCTGAACATCAGGAAAAATAGGACTATCGAAAGAGTCGCTTATTGGGTACCGAAACCCTCTAAAGCTACTAAATGAGCACGTTTTAGTACGTTTTAGGAGGTTTTTAGCAAATCCGGTTTTTCCTGATGAAGATTTACCCGGTCAATTCACCGTAGAGTGGCACCCAGAAGACACGACATGGAAGGCGTTATGCCCTCGCCTACAGTGCCCGGGTGTGATCTCTGACGATACATGGTCTTGCTATCTCATGTCGGCTTGTATCTCGTACCGACTTGACCAGGAACAGGAGTTGACCTCACGCTAAACGAAGCCTCTGGGAGGTCCTCAAGCTATCACACGGCTAGCATCCTTGTAAGAACTGCTAATAGCTCTGAAATTTAAACATCGAAGTGGTGCCTACTGTCGCGCAATCCTCAACGGCAATGTTTCTCTCATAACCCGTCATGGGACCTCGTCGTTCAATCACCTCGCCAGGTTGCCTGTTCAGAAGATGCAACAGCCCCTGTTCTAGGCTTGTCCATCCATGGTGGCTTTGTTCACGATCACCCTTGCGAGGGAGGCACTGACCAACATCAAGAATCGGGTTGCTGGAATGCTGCTATCTATAAGGCTCAAATACTCAGCTTGTTGTCAACAGCGGCGCAACCATTGATCGCCACCTCTGCAGCTCATATCGTCGGATGCTATTCGACGGCTCACGCTTCTAGGATCTGTTCGCGAGGCGCCATCGGATGTCGGGTCTTCACCCCAGTGCCGAGCACGCATGCTCACCGCTGCGGAGTCCGCCCACGATCATCACGTCTATCCGACAGGTATAAAAGACCTCAGGATGGTCAGCACTCTCCAGGGCATTACCTCCTCTTATCTGCGGACAACCCACAATGGCTGTCAAGGCACTCCTTCCTCTTGCACTCCTCGCGGTTTCGCAGACTGCGCATGCTGCAATCACCCGTCGCGTCGCATGTCCTGACGGCGTGAACACTGCAACAAACGCAGCATGCTGCGCGTTTTTTGCTATTAGGGATGACATTCAGGAGAACCTCTTTGACGGCGGCGAGTGCGGGGAGGAGGTAGGTCTCTCTGTGTGATAGAGTAGCCAAATATTCAATACTCTTTCGTCAGGTCCACGAGTCGCTTCGTTTGACCTTCCACGATGCTATAGGTATCTCGCAATCCAATTCAAAGTAAGTGTTCTGTTTATGCCATGGACTGGAGACTGACTGAACCGGTTGTCAGCGCGGACGGTGGCGCAGATGGGTCGATGATCACGTTCGCGGATACCGAAACGGCTTTCTAGTATGCTAACGGTACGATTATATTCACCCTTCCAAACCTACGCTAACTTTTCTCGTACGTTTCAGGCGGTATCGACGAGATTGTCGATGCACAGACTCCGTTCATAGCTAAACACAACATCACCGCTGGCGATTTTATCCAATTCGCCGGTGCTGTCGGCGTGTCCAATTGCCCAGGCGCGCCTCAACTCGACTTCTTCCTCGGCCGTCCAGGGGCCGTTCACCCGGCGGTGGACAAGACCGTTCCAGAGCCCTTCGACACAGTGGACTCCATCCTTGGCCGCTCTGCCGACGCTGGCGACTTCACACCGGCTGAAGTCGTCGCGCTCTTAGCTTCACACACCATTGCAGCGGCAGATCTCGTCGATCCCAGCATCCCTGGTACACCCTTCGATTCCACTCCCGGCATGTTCGACAGCCAGTTCTTTGTCGAAACGCAGCTTCGTGGCACACTATTCCCTGGTACCGGCGGGAACCAAGGCGAGGTTGAATCCCCTCTGCGCGGCGAGATCCGTCTCCAATCAGACTCAGAGCTCGCTCGCGATTCCCGCACGGCCTGCGAGTGGCAGAGCATGGTGAACAACGAAGCGAAGATGCAGGCAGCGTTCAAGGGGGCGATGCTCAAGCTATCAGTCCTCGGTCACAACATCGAGGATATGATTGATTGCTCAGAGGTCATCCCGGTTCCCAAGGCGCTACCGCCCAAGGCTGCAACATTCCCCGCTGGCCTGAGCCACGCCGATGTCGAGCAGGCGGTGAGCACATTTCTTAGCTGTTGTTGGAGTTAGCCTCACCTCGCTTCACAGTGCGCACCTGCTGCTTTCCCGACTCTGGCTTCCGACCCTGGACCAGCAATGGCAGTCCCTCCAGTTCCGCCTTCGTAGTCGGGAGCGTATTTACCTAGTCGAATCGGTCGTTTGATTGTGTACCTATCCCTCCGAGTCACCTACCACAGGCTGCAAGCCGCACTCTGATCCCTTGCGGATGCTACATGGATTAGTCTATCAAAGGTGATGCATTACAACCGATGGGCAAGAGTGATATATAACTACGAAAGCAAATGCGACATGAATCCCAGCAAACATTATATCAGTGGTTAGATTTTGACCCCTTTGGTCGATGAGATCTTTGCTCGTATATCTCCATATCAATGGTATCTGCGGTTAAAAACCGGTAGATGTGGACATGTTGCGTCTGCCCATACCGCCTAAGTCGTCCGATAGCCTGAGTTTCACAGGCGTCGTACTGCTCCTGCGAATCCGCTAGGAGGGGAGAAATGAATATAGCATGGTTCGCGCCCGTCAAGTTCGCGCCGCTAGCACTTTCGTCCATGACGTTGAGGAGCAAGACGCGCTCCGGCCCGTTATTTTGGAAAAGCTCGAGATTTTTACTCTTCTGAATTGCGGTGCCCTTGATCTCCAAGAACTTGACCTTGTTGGCGGCTAGCGCTTCGGCAACTTTCTTCATCAGGTCCGGGAATTGTACAAATATGAGAACGCGCTCATCCTTCGGGATGCGATTCCTGATCAATTCAAGTCAGATGAGAGGTTCGGGGCTTGCGAAACATAAAGACTGACCTCAACAGATCCAGAATCTGTTCAATCTTCTTGCCGTAGTGCTTGCCTTGCCCATCGCGCACGTCGTCAACACCCAAGGTGTCGCCTTTCACGATGTTCAACCGTCGAACTGGTACTCTGCACTTGGCTGATACGGAGGCAACACACTCCTCTCGATCTGCGCAGTCCGTAACGCAGTTGAGGCAGCCCATATGTCCGCACGTCGACAACACGCCAACTTCCGACATCGGGATGCCCGTCCTATGGCATCTAGGGCACTCGTCTAAAGGCACAATCTTCTTCTGCAGTTCGCGGACGACCTTGAAATAACGCAGGGAGCGCTCGCGACCGACTAATTCCTTGGCCAGTCGACGAATGTTGTGAGTATGCTCACGGAGAGTCCAGATGCGGTCCTTCGCCTCCTTGGAGAGCCCATCGTCAGGTTTTCCACCTTTGCCTTTCGCAGCCTTTGCCTTGGTTGAATTTGCATCGCCAAGGCGGTTGCTTCCTGCCTTCGACGCACGCGACACCCCCGCTTCCTCCAGTAGCTGGAGAATGGTTTCCGTAGCGTCCGCGTCACCTACGCCCTCTGTTTGGCACACCCTCACCCATTCGCGGAAACTAGACTCCTCGCTAGTACGGCCAATCTTAGCCTCCATCTTTAGCGCATCCTGCAGATGTTTCAGGAGATCCGCTTTGCAATCCTCCAGCTGTTTGGTCCGCTCTTTCACGATGATATCGCATGCCTTCGGGGCGTTGTCCTTGTAGTTGGTCTCAAGCTCGAAATGCGAGCATCTTTTCAACAACGCTTCCTCGGCAGAACTGAATATATCCGTGAATAACGCTACAACAAAGAGATGTACCAGAACCTTACCTCGATTCACCCATGGATTGTGCCAGGCGTTTCTCCCGGTCGCTCTCGTTCTTCTTCCCGCGTTTTATCGTCATATCCAGGGCACGCAAGTGGTGTTCTAATTCGAGATAAATGGCGCGTTCAGCGGCAGGAAGAATGATTTTCTCCTTCTGAACGCTGAATGGAATTTCATCGATCTCCGCGATATTCTGCATATGCTTATGTTAGAGTCGTCATCTTGTGATTTCGGGGGAAAGCTCACCTGACGAACGAACTGATTCAAGAACATCTGTGCCAACTGGTGTCGATTGGCATGCCACTCAACGGTGTGTACTTCACGGAATGAATGGAACTTTTCCGCAGCTGAACGCAGCATTGAGTATTGATTATCTCGCCCGTTTCGTCCAAGTTGATGGGACTTACCTGTTTGGTCACGACGCCGCTTCTTCACCTGAGCTGATTGTCCTTCGCCGTCGTCGTCGACGCCCAGATGAATGTTCAAGAAGGCTGCGATGGTTTTGACCGCTGCGAAATCGTGCACGGGTGGTGTGCCGGAAAGAACCCAAAGACGGTCCGCCGTAAGTTTGGTGATGAGGGAGTGCGATTTGCCTTGAAGATAAGTGTATTCATCGACGACTTTTCGAGCAAAGTGGAACATCTCGAGGGGAGGGGCTTGCATCCGCCTCCAGTCCTCCTTGACGTCCTTAGAACCAAGCTTCCATGGATCGCTGTCAACTCGGCGTTTCTGCTTTTTTGGAGGTGGTTCCTCTTTGCCTCCGTCGACAGACTTCCGCTTCTTGACATTCTTCTTGGAGGAGCCCGAGGTTTTCTTAGTCGCCGGAACGTCGGAATCGGACTCGACATTGTCATCGCTCGATGGCTCGGACCTTGTTGTCTTTGCATTTTGCTTCGATTTTGCAACCATCTTCGCTTTCCCGCTCGGCTTGGATACAATGACGACGTCGGAATCAGAATCTTCACCTGCCTCCGACTCAGACGACGTTTCGACGCCAGACACCTCGTAATCGGATGAGTCGCTGACAGGTTTCGCTTTCCGCTTGCGAGCTGAAGGTTTGCTGGGCCTTACAACAGGCTCTGATTCCGGCTCCGACCGTTCGATCTGCTCAACCTCGAAGTCGCTCCCATCGTCCGCTTCATCCTCGGAAATGACTATGGGGGCCTTCCTGGTAGCAGCGCGTCTTCTTGAAGGACGATGTTCGGAGCTTTCGTCATCGTCCTCGGATGGAGACGGAGGGACGGACGTTGGGGGACCATCGGAGCTTTGAAAGTAAGATATACGGCGTTTTGGTATCACGACCTCCATGATCTTGCCTGAAGTGGGCCCGCGTTTCAAGGTCTCCCGAGGAGTGGGGTGTCCGTTCTGTTTATTCTTGGAAACCGGATCAGGGATTGGTTTAGCCTTCTCGCGGTATGCTTTGCCGACAAGCCGCTTGGTTGGCGCAAGGGCGGCGGCAGCGGCTTCATCAACTGTATGTCCGTTCACAATCGACTATTAAGGTATAAACGCTGACTAGAACACGTACCTCTTTTCCTACCCGCCTGAATCTCTCTCATGACTGCGCTCGAACCCTCGTCTACTAGAAGATCGACTTGTTTGGCCAAGGCAGCATTAATATCAGCCAGCCGAGCTTCGAAGTAACGCCCGTCCTGGTTCGGAAGATCTCCCACGCCAGCAAAAGCCTCCAAATTCGCCAAGTAAACATTGCTATGGAAAAGGTTGGAGGCGACGATGACGATGTCTGCTTTCATCACGGCCTTGATAGTCAAAGCATTGATATTGCCCGCTGTGGAGATCACGACGACGTTCATCTTCCGCTTGATGAATTTGTCCACCTCCGACTTCCATTGCCGCGTCAGATGAGGGGGTACGATCACCAGGGTAGCCTTGACGGGTATCTTCCCCTTGATATCAGGCATGGTGTCGAACTCTTCTTCGACACACTCCCGCGCGCTGTCAATGAGACCGAGAGTAATGGCAGTTTTGCCGTACCCTACTTCGTCGGCGAGGACGCCGCCCCGGACGCGAGTAGGCCGTTGTACCCGCCCTTCGGCGCGCCAACCCAAAGCTTCCAGAACAGACTCCGAAATCTCCTCTTCCACGAAGGGCTGGCAATCGACAGCCTCTTGCCGCAGCATCCATGCCAACGAGCGCAGCTGTTCGGGGCGGAGCGGCACTTTGAATCCGGGTTGGTCGTGAGGGATGTCATGTTTGTTGCTGGATAAAACGAATTTCGGTACGTTCAGCTTGACAGCTGGCACGAAGTTCGTGTCGATACGCCAGGAGACGGTCGGTGTTTCGGTTCGACCTGCGGTAGGCAAGCGTGACATCGCTCGGTGGATCAACGACAGGACGTTGACTCCAATCCGTACGATCCCAGTTTCGGACTCATCGAGCTTCAACTGTGTCACAAACGGCGAAGGTCGGTGTTTGAGGCGTCGTTCGTGCTCGCCTGCCTGTACAGGATCCTCCGTGGCTACGACTTTTTGCTTCACTTTGACCCATCGCAGCGAGGGTTGCGAAGGAGCGCATCGTTCGCAAACGCACGTTTCTGGCGGGAGGTCGCACGGTTGCCACTGACTGAAATGGTCGCCCATGCTTCGGATACGTTCAAGGAGCCAGGCAATGGACCTGAAGATCGTCCGTTCGTGAACCTTGTCGACTTCCTGATACATGCCTCGAGGCCACTCTGGACCTGCTTGGCCTTTCAGAGGTACGCGGCATACCAACACGGCGCAGGCGCTTTGGCAAGCCTCGGCAGACGATGAAACGTCGAGCACCTGGGAAGGCGCCGCATATCGAGCATTTTCGACAACAGAGGCCTACAACTGAATGAGTGACAACTACAGAGCCTTGACACAAGTCAACCCACCTGAAGCCTAACGTTTGCAGTGCTCTTCCATACACACGGGATTGTACACTTGACCGTCGACGCAGCATCTTTCACGCTGCTTTGTCTCCACTTATTGTCCAAGCGTGCAACTATGGGACGGGCCTCGCCAAATTCGTAACGACGATTGCTGATGGAGAAGACAAAGCAGTCATCATCCCAGTGCCCGGTGCGAGTAGGGTCTAGCAACAAGAAAAGGGGTGGGATATTGGCATCTTCGCCGTCCTTCGCGCGTCGCCTGTGCAGTCCATTGCTGGCGGTGCCACAACGAGCGAGTAAATCATAGTCGCCCGAGATGTCGCGGTCGAACTTCCCGGAATGCTCCAGAGGGACAGATATCCGCACCTGTTCATATACTGTCTTGTTTTTGAACTGCGGGGCCTGCAACCCCAGGAGCTGCTCCCAAGCTGGAACTTGCGGACCAGTTCCGGTTATCTCGATCGGAACGGTCGTCTTAAGAGGCAAAGCGATGTCCCATCGGCCGGACAGCCATGTATCGCGACAGATTAAGCGAGCAATCGGCGATTCCAGCAAAGTCCGAATGGGTGATTTAGCCGGTAGGGAGACATCAGGTTTGGCAAACAGCTGCCATTGTGGCTGATGGGGAGATAGGAGGAGCTCCACGCGAGCCGAGGGTGATTCGTATATGGCGCTCCAGATTTCGCGACGCTTGAGTTCAACGAAACGGTAATCTTCGGAGACGGCACGCAATACAGATGCCCGCCATCCTGCCCAAAGTTTGGCGTCAACCGAACCCTCGGACTCGTCCTTGAGGTTATCGAGTAGCTCTTCCGTGATGCCATTGATGGATAGTGACATCGGAAGTACAGATTTGAACGCCTTGGAGAATGCAAGGGGGGATAAACGGGATTCCTTTGTGAGATCCAGAGCTTGAAAATCGTGTTCTGGCCGCCCGGCACACTTCACACATGAGGTCGAGTTGCAGCTTTGACAGCGTTTAATATCGCGTTCGGTCATGCCATCCCGACCCTCGCAGCGACAGAGGCGAATACTGCGCTGAGCTTGGAGGAGGACGTCCTGAATCGACATGTCGTTCTCGATGGTGAGCCCCAACGGCTTCTCGATGAGCCGATCATCACCAACGATGTGGTCTTCCACTGGAAGGGAGTCAACCTGCGGTATATCCACGTCCATCGAGTCCATTGCTGCATCCGCTGCATCCGTGCGCGCGTCTTTCGCCTCGTATGATTCGTGGTCGTCTCCAGAGCGGATAAGCTCAAGGCCCTCCACCAGCGCGGCGATTATGGCTGTACCAACGACTGTCGTGCTCATGGCGTTACCAGCGAGGTCGGCAAGTTGATCTTCCTTTTCTTTGGATAAGATGAGCTCGTCCGTAGGCAAGCCTTGCATCGCGAGAGCCTCCAAGCCTACCATCGGTCCACCGCGGTTCGTGATGTAAGGAATCATCGACGGGGTGAGACACGGACATATACCCATTCGTTTCGCGCCGATCTCCCGGTCCACATTCTGCGATAAATTCCAGATTTGCCTACTGGCCGTCAGCAAATATCGATATATGCATAATCAGAACCTCACGTCTTATACGCCGGGTCGTATCCTTGGGCAGCTGCGCGTAGTAGACTGATGTCTAGCAAATCCCAAACACGTTCGACCTGGTTCCGCGCCCAGTCGTGCCAATACTCCTCAGGCATGCTGCAGAATCCGCCTACAATGATTTTAGTATGCGTCGGAGAAACAGCAGGTTGATGACTTACCTTCCTCCCAGTTGGTAAGGGGCCGTTTCGACCCTAATCCTTCCTCCAATCGAGCACGTTGATGACGAGACTCGCAACGACCCCAGTCAGTGCGCCCTGAGCGTCTATCAAGGATTGAGCTTCCTTCTTGTACCAGTTTTTCACGGAAGTGGTGGATTCGCGAGTCGTCCGAAGGAAGGAGGAACTCGTCAAGGGTGGAAGTCGCTGGTCGTTTCAACTCTTTAACGCGCTCTGCCCAGTCTTCCGGGATGTTGGAGTTCTCCTGGTTAACGGCCAGAAGGTAGACGCGCTGACGCGTGTGGGGAATATAATATTGCTTCGTATCCAGCTTGACGAAAGCCGCGCTGTAGCCGAGCGTTTCAAACTTCTGGACTACCCTGGGCCACGGGGCGCCGCAAACATTTTCCAGGATGACCAACGGGGGACGGTGATTGGCCACCCAGTCTAGCATCCCATGGAAAGTACGGCCAGATTCCCCTCCGGCGTCGATGCCTTGCTTCTCGTTATTGAGGTTGGAGTAATCTACGCAAGACGTGCCGGCAACGAGAAGATCAACATCGCCAGGTACAGGTGCCTCAGCACCGTAAGCGGTAGTGCTAGTTGGGAAGCATTAGCAATCAAGCTAGACGACGACTGAAGCACTGCGTACGCGTGTGTTTGACCGAGCTCGCAAACGTCCCTGAATAGGAGCGGAGGCCGAAAGTTTCGTTCTATATACGCTTGTTTGAACGGCTCGATCTCGCATGAGAATACGTGCTCGATTTCGAGTTTGACATGGTGTCGGTCGTGGATGGACTTTTGAATGAGGTCCAGCGCAAGCAGAGGAGATTCCGTGCCGGAGCACATGGTAGCCACCCGTATCTTTCGCCCTTTGACATGTTCCGCAACTCGCTTGAGTTTGGGGACGCGTTTGACAATATCTGCGAAGATCTCGGGTATCTTCACGATAGGCGGCAAGGAGTCAAGCGACGTGTCGGCAGAGGATTCACCGGGTGCATCGTCGTCTTCTTCGTCTTGTTCATCGTAGTCGTCATCTTTCACTACCTCCTTGGGCTCGTCCTCACCGCCATCTTCTTCGTCCTCATCCTTGTCCTCGTCCGGCTCAGAAGCAAGCGCCACCTTCTTTCTGCCTCCAAAGAATGTGTCGATGGATTTTTGACCCTTCGGGCGTGAGGGAGCTGTGGGCTTCGGTTTTGTAGCCGACTTTGAACCGGAATTCTTTGCCGGCTTTACTGGCATGAGGGAGAATGTAAAGGGAAGGTGATTGAGTAACGCGCGAGCCACGGTCCAGCAACGCGCCTGACGCGCGCTGAGTCACACGTGACAGTGACACTGTGACAGACGTGATGCCTCCTTCAAGCGGCGGAAATTGCAGCCCCGTGCATGTAAGTACTGGTAATGGACATACAATGACATACATGTATATTCTGTTCCGCAGGCAAATTTGAATTCTTATGGGACACGCCAAGTCTGTGCGGCTATAGAAGAGGACGCGCAAGCATCCCACTGTCAAGGGACTCAAGGCGGGCGTAGTCCACGATGTGCACGCGCTCTTCGAATACACTAGGGCTGATTCAACGGCATGGGCAAAGTGGTGTATCCATCTCATGAATATAGGATTTGTATGTGTCCGCAGCATCGAGTCAGTGGGGCGGGGATCTTGGCTCGTAATATATAACGAGCAAGCTGCTCAGCACGTTCGTTGCGGTGACCGAAGCACCCGTATAGCACACGAACGCACTCCACGACCATCCACTTCGCCTTGAACACCATGTCTTGGATTCTTGACAGAATCGGAGAGAGATTTGGCGCTGACTCGTTGGAATGGTGGGATAAGGCATACGTGATAGACTGGTAAACTGATCGCAGGACTTCAGCTTTCTCACCTCCGACTCTGACACTCACCACATCCAGGCTTGTCTGTGTTCTGCTATGGTTTCTCTGCAACGTCGCAGATCGTCTTCCAGTCTTCGCAAGAGATTTCAAGGTTGACGACCCGCTCATCAGTTAAGGCAGGGCCAGTGCAAACGCGGGTAATGTGGAGCTCTGTGGCGTTATCACGTGTACCCCGCCAAAGCGCACATCCGACCCAGGTTACACCACCCTCAAATACTCCCTGAACTCGAAAAAGACGACTTGTCGATTGATGGAATAAAATTATGAACGGAGTGATCTGTCCGCAATTAGATTCTCTATCGATAGCTCGCCGTGTTTGTGAGTTAAAGAGCTGTGCAGATGTGGAATTTCCTCAACTTGGGTACATTCAGGCCTTTGTGCGCCAAAAGCCGGGGATGTGATCACGTGACATTACCCGCGTTTGCACTGGCCCTGCCTTACCCTCATCGGAAACAGCAGTAATGTCCCTGTTGTTACGTTCCCCAGGGCAGAATCTCAACCCATCATAGGATCAGCGGCACAGTGAATGGAAATGTCGCGATGCTGTTACCAGTGGCCATCGTCATTGTGGTCAGCGGCATGAGAAGGTCTTTGATGGAGATTCACCACGGCCTGCTTGCTCTGATTGCTGGTCGGTACGTCACGTTCATCTCACGAAACGCCGTCGAATGCTGTACCGACGATCTCCTCGAAGACTCTTATCAACATTGATCACGGACTTGCTGAAAAGCCGTGTCGGTGAGAACAAAGCGTCTTCGATGACAATCTTCGTTGGCTCACCCATCTCACCAGGTCGCTTGAGGCCTGATTTCCTGTCCCGCTGCAAATGGGATGCCGCTCTGTCAGCGTGTACTGGGTGAATCATCTTCTTTCCTGTGCCTGTTTCGTAATACTCATGCATTCCATTCCTATAGAAAAGCCGACGACGTCCTCGACGGTCGCAAAGTGCGTTTGATACAGTTCGCTGGTTGACGACACCGTGATCCTAACCTTCCATCGATGTCTTTAGTCTTTTCCCAGTGGCCATTCGTCGACCGCGTTCGCTGGAATGACATTCTTGTTCCTCTGGATAGCTGGGAATACGTCGGCCTGGTCCTTCACCTCAAGGCCGCCGTCATCCTTGCTGCTAAGGAGCCGACTGTTGGGACTTTTGATATCTCTGCTACCCATTGGTTATGCCACGTGGGTCGCGATATCTCGAATGGAGGATTATGTAGGCTGCTCAGACCATACTCCCGTGTCAGAAGCCTGAATTCAACGTCTTACAGCGACACCACAAAGAGGATGTTATTGTCGGCAGCCTCGTCGGCATCTTATCGTCAACTATATGCTATCTTGTATACTGGCCAAACCCGTTCTCATGGCGAAGCTTCAAGGACAGCCTTTTGGGCAAGCCTCGAATATTGTACAGTGGTCGAGATGATAGGCGTCGTCCCGGCGACTTTGCACTAACTAGCCTAGACGATGATGATCAGGTGTAGTAGACAAACTATCAAGACCAAGTGCGTCACTGGTCCGAGCGATACTAAACTAGGGTGCCGGTGCTTTGTCGGTACCTCGTACGAAGACCCATTTATCCCCGACCTTTTGCATGCGGCCTCCCGAGCTGCCGCTTGGTTCAGCCATATCGCTACTGACCGATTGTTGGTCTTCCAGCGGCGCTGCGTTGAGGACTATGGCATCGGAGACTTGGTTTCCTCCATAGTCATATGAGCTGTATGCCTCTCGGCCGTTGCCGCGCCCGCGACCTGAAAACCCCCTTCCTCTGTCGCCACCCCGCCAATTGCCTCGCTCGGACCCTCCGCCTCTCGTACTATTGCCGCTGTTGGGCCATGGCTGCTGCTGCACGCTGACGGTTGCACTAGGTACAGGAGCCGCTGCCCCCATGAAACCCCCCATAATGAACTGCATCAGTTCCTCCTGTGACGGCGCGTACCCGTTCGTGATTTGCCACGCCGTTCCGAGCGCTTCCCACGATGCAGGGGCCGTAGGGTCGAACGTCGTGAAATCGAATGCCGCTAGCCCAATGTTTTGCGTTGCAGGTGCGACTTGTGGAAGATCATTTGGAGCAGCTGCACCGGGGACCGTCGCTGGTCCCGCGGGCATTGCGTCGGCGTCTGATGCTGACGTTATGGATGTGGGGACGGACGGCGATCGTACTGGCATCTGCTCTTTAGCTGATGATCCTGACTGCATTACATCCTGCGTAGGCGATTCCGGCCTGATATCACGACCAAATTCGTCTTTACCAGGCGTGTTGGCGGCCACACCAGTGGGCGTCCCCGTCCGGGGCGGCGGACTGTACGACGGCACATCACGTCTACCCCCAGCACCGTATCTAACGCGCGGAGGACTCCTCGAACGGCTAAGGCGTTCTCGTCGTGGTGGACCTCGGTCCCCATCTCTATCATTGAAATGCCCACGCGGATCGCGGTCATCCCATCGCCCCCGGCCGCGGCCACGGAAGTTGTCACGGGGTCCACTCCGGAAGTCCCGACGTTCATCGTATTGTTCTTCCCGGCGCCTGTTGAAGCCACCACCGTCGTATCTACCGTAACGGGGATCTCTCGGTCCAGGACCATAGCGATCATTCGTAAAGGGAGGGGGAGGCTGCGCGTTTGCGTAGGCCGATGGAGGCCCTGGCACTGCAACATGAGGAGGAAGCACTACAGGTGGTGGCGTGGGGGTGGCTGAGCTAGGCCCTGGCACAGCGGGAGCGGCCACGCTTTGCTTGAGCTGTTGCAGCAAGGCTAGCTGATTGGCATCCAGCTGAGGTCCACCCACTGCCGGCGTGTTTGTCGGTGTTTGTCTGATGATGCGCAGGGTCTGAGTTCCAGAATACCACCAGCAAAGCGATCGGGGACTCACCCTAAAGCCGTCGCGGCTTGACTGAGCAGGGCCAGGAGAGTTGATTGCGCGTCTGCGGCAGGAGAGATCGGAGGCGCGACTGGTGGCGTGGTAGTGACAGGTAGCGTCGGTGTCGGTACCGGTGTCGATTTCGTTTCGGTCACGGGTGGCGCATTCACGTTCGACTCTGACGGTAAATTGATCGTATTTCAGTTCGCGCTCTCATTTCGGGATTGCAGTGTAGGCAAGGCAATCGTTGCATTACGCAAACGGGAAGATTACTTAGCGATAACATGCGTGACTCGTGATATGCACCTTTAGCAGATCCCTTCAATATATCCGATAATCGTGTCAACACAGCGGACGGAAAGGTATTCGACTTGACCCATATGTCAAGCACCTTCTTGGTCTTTTCCTGATATAACGTAAACGAACACGAGGTTAGGGCCATTCGAGGACGTTGTCATAGATAGTAACACGAGAAGGATGTCAGTAGGCAGATCCGGAGCAAGGTTTGGTTGTCTGACGCAAGATCTCATTGCAGCGACAGCGGCATTGACGATCAGAAAACCAATCGTCAGCGTGACCGCCCGATGGCGACCAGTTCGGGGAGAAGGATGACAGTTCTTTCGGCCAAACATGACGCCGACTCGGCCAAAGAATTGGATATTGTGGACGGTGTTAGGTCGTTCATCCAACGATGCTTTCACCCGTACGTAGCCGACCTAAAGAACCTGGAACAGCAAAGCGACGAAGGACGTTACGAACCTTGCATTCAGAGTTGCCGGTAGCCAGCATATCTTTGAATAAACCGTCGAGTACGCCATCGAGCTTCAGCAAGAAGGTGGCGCAATTCCCTTTCTCCGCATTGATGTCGCCAGTAATGCCATGCTTGTTCACTTTGTGTCTGGCCGCACACGCAAGCGCGTTAAATGCATATAATCCATGGATTTTCTTGTCGACTGGTAGGGATTTATGTCGTCGATATAGTATCGAGACCAATTGCGTGTCATCCTAGGCGACATCATGTGAATCATCTACCCGGAGGCAGCGCGAAAAATCGCGAACGGATTACGGGAGAACGTACCTCCATACATTTCAGAGCAGCTTCGGTCATCCTATTCATCTTCGATTCGGACAGGCGTTTCGCCTGAACGACATCCTTCAGTGCCGCCTCGAAGTCCTGCGAACGGCGGCGTGAGCCACAGTGCAATGCCGGAGTGCGCGGCTAATCATACCTTTAGGGGACTCATGATGGACAGTGCTCGTATTTTGAGGAGTTGTCAACGCGGATGAGTGCGCCAGGTCGCTGAGGGCAACAGACAAAAGAGGCTTATGGATGGATATGGTGGTCAAAGGTTAAGGTGCGCTTTGCGAGGTCCGTGCGCCTCTTTGTTCGCGCCGACGGCGAACTGCTGAGTCTCTCACATCCTGACCAACGTTATCTCGACGTCAGCGCCGATTTGATCATGAAAACCCGAACACAGTTGCCAGGAAGAGAGCGACGACGGACGGCCATGGGCTATGGAACCGCCAGCGGCAACTATGTAGTGGTCGAGCGAGTCATACAGTGTTTTTCTATGGTAAAACCGCTCCAACATTGTCGGCAATAACTGCCAGACCACAAATGAGACGTTTCTCGCCATAACAAGAGGTTATATATAGTTCGAGGGAGTCTATGAGGATGAAATCGTCTTATCATGAAGCTAGACTCGCGGTCGCGTTCAGTACGCAACAGTCGAGATTGCATACTCAAGGATGACGGTCCCTGATGGCACGCCGACAACGGCATGCATGCGCAAAATAAGATCATGCACAGTTTGGGATCGCTGAGATGGCGCTACGAGAGGAGTGGCCAATTTTCGACGGTGAACAGCCTGATCCCGAAAGGCGGCATTACTTCAGCCTGCAAGACAAGCTCGAGAAGTGCTGGCGGTGTGTATAGTTCCAGTAGATATACCTAATGCCAGAGCGGAAGGGTGATCAGACAGCGAGAAATGCGGTGGAGAGGAGCCTCACCACGTCTAGCTGAAGCTTCCAAAAGCAGGCAAGCCTCACGAAACATGCCAGAGGACGTATGATCAACTTAGTCTGGTGTCTTCGCTTGCCGTGTCCTGAGCCGAAACTCGCTGAACGCGCTCATACACTTCGCGTTTCCTTTGGGACTCTTCTAATTCGGCCTGTCTCTGACGCATTTTTTGTAGCCTCCGCTCATCGTCCCTGAGCACACCTTGATACATGGTCTATCTCGGAGTGAGAGAGCTTTACAGCAACGAGAGTATACCCGTACCTCGCGCTCCTGATCTTGCATATAATGCACGCCCCATATCGTTAAGGTGGAAAACAAAACCGCTCCAAGGAGAGTGGCTTGAGCTCTCCGCGACATTGATAACGAGATCTGTGCTAAGATCTTCTCCAGGCAGTCCACGCCGCAAGGAATTGGTGTCGATTAGCCAGACGTTGTCTTGACGAAGTTCCTGCCACCGCTGTAACTCGGCAAATGTCGGCATTGTCCGACTAAACACCGATATGAGCGGAACATCGGTGTCCAGCCAATCGGAGGCGGGCGTTGCCAAATTTCAGGACCGTCGCAGTAGTGAGCGATGCCAACGTGTCTCTGTCTCCCCGCAACCTCCTCCACTTCCCCGGTCCCTCATTCCTACCCGCAATGCACCCCGCACTCCTCGTTGACGAGATCTTGCGCCAAATCATCGAATTTTGCTACAGCAGCGCGGAAAGGAAGGCCGATGCCACTCGGACGCTGGCTAGGTTAGCCAGGACGTGCAGAGCCTGGCGGGACCCTGCTCTGGACAGACTGTGGTGGAGACTGGACTGTGTAGCTCCGTTGCTGGCTCTTACGGCACGTCACTATTGCTACCCGGATTGTGGTCCGTCAGGCTAACAGTGTTCCAGAGGTTAGCGAGAGATCAGTTGTTCGAAGAGCATCTCCTGCAATACGGCCGTCGCGTCAAGCACTTAACTCTGGCACGACTCGGCAGCCAACTCACGTCGGATCTCGGCAATTTCCTTTTCACTACAGCGGAGACGAGCCTGGGTCAGAACCTTCTTCCCAATCTTGGGAACCTGACAATTCATAAAGACGCCTGGTCATACACCAGCAAGCTTATGCCGTTCATAATTTCACGAGCTCTCCACACCATAGACCTACATACGTCGTCCCAAGCCTCCCTTTCGGTTTTCCATGACTTTGTAGAGACTATCAGACGCGTCTCGTCTCCCATAGACACGGCTGTCCTTCGAGGGCCGTTCAACTCCGAAATACAGAGCCTACTCACAAGCTTGTCCAGCATCCGGATATACCACTCGAAGCGCAATCAATCGCTTCGCGCTTCTGAGATCTTCGCACTATCGAGACTCCCTCTCCTCGCCGAACTTCACATAGATGGATGTTCCCTAAACGTAGACGAAGTCATGGCCTGCATAGAAGCTCAGCCCATCCACGCACCTAGCTTCCCTGCACTAGAATCATTACACCTTTCCGCGCCTTCCGCACTCATAGAGCATATACTAGAGGCTTCTTCCTCCTCCACCCTTCGCACGGTTTATCTCGATATCCAAGACCGTGCCTTGACGACGGCACCATGGCGGACCATTTTCAGTATCTTGGGCAAGAAGGCAGCTGGGACCCTCCAGAATCTTACAGCAACCCATTTCGTTGATGCCGACGAATCCGACCTTGCTGCAGGTCCCGTACCAGTGGAAATGACATTCACAGTCAACGATCTCCGGGACCTCCGGACGGTGAAGTCGCTACGGAGCTTTACGCTCCAATCATCGTTTCCTACGGACCTCTGCGATGATGACATGGACGCTATAGCGCAATGGTGGCCAAATATCGAGCACCTTGCTGTCGAAACTGGTCACATCGCTATGGAAGGTCATTCGGCATCTCATCGCGAATGCAAGCATCCGAGCCTCACCCTCGGTTGCCTTACCTCCTGGGCGCGATCTTGCCCTCAGCTCGATTACCTCGTCCTGCCCCGTATGGATGTCGGTGTGGGTTGCCCCAATCCAACACAACCATTCGCGCCGCATAACGCGCTGCGCTCACTTTCGATCGCTATAGACGAGGCTATGAACGAGACGGAGCAAGCTGCCGAGTACCTCCACGCGCTCTTCCCTTGCCTGGCGGCGCTTGGCGCGGTTGATGATGATGCCAAGTGGGAGGGGATGCGCCGTGCCCTTCAGCGCCGGTCGCCCGCAACTACTTTTGTACCTCTCTGACACACCAGGCGTGCGTTCATAACATAGATCTAGATTTAGGTGTTCGTTTATTCCTCCGACACGATCCTTGTCCATATATATATAGACGGGGGTACAGATATACGCTTATTGATTACCGGTACAGATAGGATTTTGGGAGCATTTACATAGTTCGATGTTACGAGGACGTTTCTGTCTGATGGGTCTTCGTTGGGTTCGTAGAATGTGTATGCAAAAGACGATCTTACCTTGTGGTCGATGACCACATTTATGACGAACCGGGAACGCTTCAGTGTCTGACGATGCTAGTCGAATAACTGGATTGCGGCAAGCGAGAAGATCCATGAATACAATGCTATACACCACCACGACCACAGTCCCACCGACCTCCCGCGGCTAACCCATTAGTTGCACATGTAGGCGCCGTACATATAGCTTGGGAGAATACCGAGCAATGGTTGCTTCGTTCGTGCGTGACAGCATGCTATCCGGATGGAGCAAGCGAGGATGACTGTGGCTTGCGGTCTACTTGGCAGACATGACATAGCCAGATGTGTCTAGGATCTGCTTGCCGCATATAGAGCACACGCCCTTCTTATATGCGCATCCTGCGAAAGGAGGCCCAGTTAGACAACAATCCGGTGGGCACGCGGTTGAGTGCGCACCATGACAATACTTCGCCCCATTCTGCGTTGTCGGTTGTTTGCAGTCCTTGCACTTCTTATCGTACGGCTGAAACCTATTCTTGGATAGAGACCCTCCTGAAGGACGAGACGGTCCTCCTGGACGACCTATGCCAGACGATCCGCCTGGCCGTGCTATGAGCTTGTTCTCACCAATCTTGCGCGAGCCGTCCTTGATGGAGGCAGATGTCGACTGGAAGGGATCGGGAGCCGCGACCTTGGAAAGTTTCTGCAGGTGACGTTAGTCGAATGTTACAAACAGCGGACCCGAGCTCGGTACCTTCTCACATTTCTTACAGACCATGGTGGATGATGGAAGGAAGAGTCTGACGGGGAGGGGAGTACAAGCTTGCTTACGTGACAACGTCACTCCTTGCACGGGCGCTTACTGTAACGCGGCGCCTTTGAATTACTACGTCACACCATGTATTGCAAACACGTTTGATCAGTACCAAGAGTCTAGCGTCGATAAAGCTCGCGGTGTAGAGCCCCACAATAACATGTTCACGACTCGTTCACCGTTTCCCGATCTGTCCACGCAAGCCAACGATCCGCGCAGTACGTGGGGTCCCATTTGAGCACGATCCATAGCACCCATCGCCGTCTCTCCCGCTCGTCCTCCGTTTCTGCCCTCGTCACATCCCATGGCCGGTTTATGACCCCCCTCACCTCCCTCTCCATAGCCTCTTCAACGATGAAACCAACTTCCCGCACCATTTTCAGGAACCTGTCGAGAGTATAGCGTCCCGTGTGTAGTCCAGCAACGAGGTACACCCTACTATCGGATGTTTTGCGCAGGGTCCTCCGGAGTGTATGGATGAACGCCACGTGGAGATCGGAATTCCATAGCGTATCAGCGGCCAGCACTATATCGTATCCAGGGAGTGAATCGCTGCCATTCTCCGTGTCATCGAACGGTGCAAAGAGGGCAGAAGCGTCAGATGAACCCCATGCGTGCGGTAGAGCTCGGCAGCGTCCAGTAACTCCGTTGCGCTCCACATTAGACGCCAGGGCTTTGATCAGCTTGCCGTCCGGGAAATCGCTCAGCGTAACCCGTGCTGTACTGTGAACTTTGGACAGGGCAATTCCAGGCAGACCAGCTCCGGCACCTAACTCCAGGACGTATACGGGGCGGGATCCGGATGCTTCAGCACCCACGAATTTACCCAAGGACAAATCCTGGAGGTGATCCGCGATGAAGATGGAAGCAACCCATACGGACGACGCATGCAACGACCAGTTTGCGACCTCTGTATCTGGGGTTTGAAGGGTGATATCGATGATATATTGGTCTTCTGCGGATGTAGAGGGGCGCGGAAGTCTGAGCGTATATTCGAATAGATGGTTTGCGGACGAGTGCGTTATGGGTGTATACTCGTAAAGAGTCTGCAGCGAGCTCGATAGTATTTCTTCTACCCCTTCGCCCTCGTCAACAGGCAACGGTGCGGTAGTCGCAGTTGAAGCCATGGAAAGGTTACTGTAATGATCTCAGATCTGATCAGTGATCACAAGCTTGAGATCAGTCCGGCCCGGAACATGTGATAACGCCCTCACGCGTCTCCTATGTAACTCTCGACGTGCCAACATCTTTGCAAGTATGAATACAATAAGGCCTCCCCCAGCTGTCTTGCAGACGCTAGGATTTGCGCACTACTCACTTGCCTGGTCACCTTTCCATACGCAACGACTTGCTGTCGCATCTGCCGCGAATTACGGCCTTGTCGGGAACGGACGTCTGCACTGCGTCAGTGTAGTGCCAAACGTACCCCACCCGGCAGGGATACCTGCGTTGAATCTGGACAAACAGTACGCCACCTTGTCCCGATTCGCTTTTTGTCGGTGTCTGAAGTCGTATCGCGGGGCTGTAGGTATGACACACAGGATGGCTTATACGACGTCGCTTGGTCGGAGATCCACGAGAATCAGCTTGCTACCGCATCTGGGGACGGGTCCATCCGTTTGTGGGATGTTATGCTTAATGTGAGTGCAAAATGCCTCATCTCTCACAAAATGCTGGCCCACCGAAATTGCGGTTATGAGACTGACTGATGCGAAGTACGGCTAGGATCTTCCGATACGCGTATGGCAGGAGCACACTCGGGAGGTGTTCTCAGTGGACTGGTCCAATATTGAGAAGTCGCAATTCGTATCCTCATCATGGGAAGGCACTGTCAAAATCGTCCGTTGTCTCCTTGTTATGGGATTACGTGCGCGACTGACAGAGGAACAGTGGACGCCAGAATCCCCGCGGTCTCTTACTACCCTACAGGCACACCACTCGTGTGTCTACCAGGCCCTTTTCTCTCCACACCAGCCCGCCGTTCTAGCTACTTGTTCCACCGACGGCACGTTGAAGATATTCGACGTTCGCGCTCCCTCCTACGCTCCCTCGAAGTTCTCCAATACCTTCACCGCGCCCTTGACCTCCGCCGCACTAACAATTCCGGCGTCGGGCACAGAAGTTCTTACCATCGACTGGAACAAGTACAGGCCATGGTTGTTGGCCAGCGCTGGCGTTGACAAGGCTATCAAGATATGGGATTGCCGAATGGTGAAAATTGGGCCCGAGGGCTCCGGTGAACAACAGCTTGGCGGCATATGCGAGGGGCAGCTGATGGGCCACGAGTATGCGGTTCGGAAGATTCAATGGTGCCCCCATCGACCAGATGTACTGGCAAGCGCGAGCTATGACATGACGTGCAGAGTGTCAGTACCTGGTTCCTCTGTGGCCCTAGTGCCTGTGCTGATATTATGCGTTCCAGGTGGTCGACCAATTCACCTCCCGGTGCAAGTCAACTGTTGTACATTCACGATCCGCATACCGAATTTGTCGTCGGCTGCGCGTGGTCTATCTATGAAGAAGGAGTCCTGGCTAGCTGCAGCTGGGACAGCAGAGTTAATGTTTTCCGTGTATAATAATATCATACATTGCCCGTATTTCTCGGATCCCAACTTCGAGTGTAGATGGAATGTTGAAGTACCGACCGCACCGGAAAGGCAATGCGCGTCTCTGTCCCAACTATACCAACGCGTTTGGCCTCTGTTCCTTCTGGTCCTACCGTTTCGCCTGCTGTTGCTGTTGAACGGATATCATCCTTCCTCCAACATGGAAATGTCTGCCTGCTTACGGGTGCGGGTGTCAGCGTGGATTCCGGTATCAGGGCGTATAGGGGCAAGGATGGTCGTTACATGAACCCGAACTACAAGTAGGTGATATACATTTCGGGATCAACTCGGAAGCCTTACACATCGATGATGCGTAGGCCCATCTTCGTATGTTGTCACGCCAGTGATATCTAGGTTCTGAAAGTGACATGCAGGCCACGACTTAGTACCATGAGCTCGTTGACGGTACCGAGAAAGGATTCGCGTTCCGGTGAGCAAAACCAAAGTCCAGTCTGTAACTGCCCGTGATCATACAACACAGGCAGCGTTACTGGCTACGAAGCTATCTAGGCTACCCACCAGTCCGAGATGCTCAACCGAACAAGACGCATTACGCGATCGCTGCTCTTCAGCATGCTTCCATAGTCCCGCGCCTCATAACTCAGAACGTAGACGGGCTCCATCACAAGGCCATTCGATCAGCGCGCAGCCGATCATGGATGGACGAGCATATGCTGGAACTGCATGGCACCCTGCATGTACGTTACATTTTCTCTATTTCAAGAGCCTGCATGCACATACGGTCCATTCGCAGAAAGTGCACTGTAACAGGGGCCATCTGGTCGACCGCGAGACATTCCAAGATTGGATATCTGCGGCGAATCCCCAATGGAAAGCATTCGTCGACGACCTAGAACGTGCGGGTCAACAGCCCCGGACGAATCCCGACGGTGATGTATGTCCTCATGTACCTCGACCGATTTGTGGACCTTCGGGAGTTTACTGTGACTTCTAAGGTGGCCATTGAAGATGTAGACTATACCACTTTCAACGTCCCGGAGTGCCCCACATGTGCGCTCGAAGGCTATACGAATTCGGTGGTTGGTACACATCGTCTTTGGATTCGTTGCATAGCTGAACACCCCCCGCAGCAAAAACCCGCCTTGATCTTCTTCGGTGAATCAATAGCAAAGGAGGTCAGGGATAAGTCGTGAGTCTATATGCGGCTCATCCATCTTGTTACGGCAATACCGACAGCGCAATAGATACGCCGATATAGAGCAATGCGATCGTCTCTTCCTCGTTGGAACAACACTGGCAACCTTTTCCGCATTCAGGCTGCTCAAACACGCCCTCGAGCTCAAGAAACCTACCTTGATGCTAAACGTCGGCCCTACCCGCGCAGACGGTTTGCCTGGCCTCGAAAAGCTCGAAATCAGGAGCGGTGAGGTCATGCGGGAAATCGTCAGAAACGTCCTGTAAGTTCTATATCTCGTCTACTCGCCACCTCGCCAACTCCATCTGTATCTGTTCAGGGGTTCACAAGCAACGGAGGATCCAATCATCCGAGATATGTTATGCAGCGGGATCTATATGCCCCCGCCGGACCATATAGAGGACATCGTTCCCCAGTCGGGAAGCTAAAGTATCACTGTCAATACCAAGAATTGTCGGGCACGATACATGTTATTGATAGGGTACCATAATAATCGATCCGGGGATTAAACATCCTCTGTCCCTTAGTGTCATGTACTCAAATACAGCTTCGCCCTCCTCGACCTTAGCGGGAAGCTGGCAAACACGGTTATTATTGGAGGCATCGACGTCGACTAGCGAACACATTAGCTCTATTAGTTCCACTACAGCGCTTACACAGTCAAGGGCTAGGGGTACATTGGTGACAATGGATGGATGCAGGATGATGTGAGGATGAGATGCAGGACAGTGACGATCTAGCTGACACAGATACATATTACAAGACTGATGCAACATTTGTTTGACAACAAACCCGAGGGAGAAACAACGGAATAGAAAAAGGCGGCGCAAGAGGTGAGGCGTCGGGATCAACGAGTCCGGGAATAGGTTATGATATCGATCAATAATAGGGAATATAGTCGTTGTTCATCGAGAAGTGGAGCGCAGGGGCAGAGGCCGCTTCCATGGGCGCGCTGGCCGGCTCGGGTAGTTGGGTCCGGATCGACGAGATGGGGTGCTTGGATGCGAAGGGGGCGTCGAGGTCGCAGTAGCTGCCCACCGCCATGGGCTCAAACAACGACGGATACCTGACGTCGTTAGGGTATGCGGTCGCCAACCAGGCGGGCACCTTGAGGTGGCCCCAGGTCCACTCCTGTGATGCTGCGGGAGCGAATCCGAGGTCAGCTTGCAGCGGGTGGTGCTCCTCGCGCGGGGTGGCGGGGAGCGACCCCGAGCGAGAAGCAGGCGCCGAGGACGACCCGAAGGACTCGTTCGCGTCGTCGTGGGAAGATTCAGGCGCGGGCGAGCCCCCTTTGCTGGAAGACCCTGATGACGAGGCGCTGCCGGAGTCGAGGGCAGGCGGTGGCGTGAAGGGTAGCGACAGTGCCGCCGGCTTGGGCACTCGAGCGCTCTTCGCGGACGAGGAACCGACCGACTTATCCTAGCAGAAACGGTCATATGAGACACGAAACTTGACTGATCGCAGTGTGGTGGCGGGCATACCTGGGCCTTCCGCCGGTACTCCTCGAGCTCGGCAGGCTTGCGGTTCAGGCAGCGGGACTTATGCTTGTTCCAGTGGAAAGGTTCGTACGGGGAGCGCGCGGAGAGTTTGATCCTCGTCTCGCAGCGCTTGCACTTGACGAAGGTAGGGCTCTGTACCTCGCACATATCGTCGTCCCGGAGCTGGCGCTCGCGGGCTTTGTGGGCGGCGGCGTTTTTGTGGGCGGCGGATCTATAAGAAAGGTCAGCTACGTAAGTAAGGAAGGGGGCGGAATGTACTTACCGTTGGGCGGCGGGTGGCGGGCTTGCTGCGCGGGCGCTCGTACCCTCACTACGCCGTGTGAGGGATGGGATGGGGGCGGATGGCAGGACACTTACCTGGAGAGCACGGAGATGCCGTCGAGCGATATCTAAAATGGGGACGTCGTGAGCGAGCGAAAAGGAGAGCGGGTGGCTTGCGTACATCGTCGACGCCGGCGTCGGGGCGGCGGGCACTCGGGCGGCGGTCGCTGGGTCGATTTGAGCGAGCGGAACGCGTCGGAGGGGAGGGGACGTACGTTGCGCGGGGCATCTCGGCGGGGCGGCGGGTGCGACGGAGGACAGGGAGATGGGCGGTGGTGGTGGTTCTGGAGAAAGGGCGGTCTGCGCCCCAGCCACACACTGGGGTCGGACTGGGAGGGCGCGTCTCGGCTATCCGCGCGTCGGCCACGTGCCGTCCCTCGCCCCGCACGGACACGGAGGCAAATATGCGCTTAAGGGCGTACATCTCGCACAAGGAGTAGGGGCACAGACATTCCATTATGCACTATTACGGACAGCGCGTCCTATAGAGAACGAATCCCGCAGAAAACACAGAAAGCAAGTAAACGTCCAAGAAAGAGTGTGGCAGGACACGCGATGCGCTTCTTCAATCCAATTTCATTCCATAACCAATAAAGAGCGAGAATGGTTTCTTCAGTCCACGTAGCTGGTAGGTCACGGCGCGTTCAATCCGCGCCCAGGGTCGATGACCGGCTGCCCAAAGCGAGTCCGCGGACGAACGACTGCCACGGCAGCTTGATCCAGTCCCATAGGCCCGGCACGTTGCCCTCCGGCGCAACGTACGTGTCCGAGCGTGGGCGCTGGGCCGGCGCATCTCGGGTTTCTTCGGCGTTGTCGTCCTCGCGACGGCGCTTCAAGGATGAGCGTGTCGGCGATGAAGTAGAGGATTCCGCCACAACTAAAGTCGCATTTGAGGACGCGACCGAGGGCTGTGAGTGCGCGGACGATGTTGAAGGTGGAGGGCGGATACCAGTGGTAGTCTCGCTCTCCTGTGTCTTTCCAGGAGATGGGGCGGTAGCTGCCTCGGCCGAGGAAAGATCTTGAACTGACGTCCCAGTTCTAGTTATTAGTTTAGTATCGCGAAGCACGCTGCGAATTGGAGAGGCGCACGGCTTGCAAGAGCCCTTATGCTCTTCCCACTTCGTCAGTTTATAGTCGCCTTCGCCTTCCAGGGTGACCCGATCTCCACAGACATTGCAGTCCACAGAACAGGTTGTGAAATGCTTTGCCTGAGAGTCATTGACCAGCTTAAGCTTGCGCTCAGCAGTTGCAACGCGACTGCTTGGACTGTGTGGCATGGCAATCAGCTCCAACTGCACCAGTGATTCTGTTGGATCGACGTACACCGCGCCAGAGCACTTCGCCTGATGCTTATCCCAGGCCCTCAGTTGATAGTTGGTACGGCCACCCAGCTTGATGGTCTTGCTGCATCGCCTGCAGGTGACTTCATTCGGACCAATGTCCTGCGCATCCGGATCAGCCTCCAGGTAAGCCTTGCGTTCTGCTTCCGTCCTTCGAGTATGCGCGGTAGCCACAGAAGCGCTGTCATCGACGTCGCTCTCGATCACAGATTTGGCCCTCTGCGATCTTCACGCGAATAGGTCAGAGATGACCCCAGGAAAGTTGTTGCCTCGTACTTGGTGGTGATACTAGCGCCCTTGGCGCACTGTTTCGTGTGTTTCATCCATGGTCCAATCACGTAAGAAACTTTCTCGCTGAGGGGTATCCACTCTTTGCAGCTCGTGCAGTGGGCACGGTTCGGTTCGAAGTCGTCGCACAACGGCTCGTCGGCGAAAAACTGGTATCGCTCTTGCTCTGACTTACGCGTTCTAGTCGGGCCGGAGGACGACTCCGCGATAGAGACACTGTCGTCAACATCCTCATCTTTCGATCGCCTACTCCGGCAATGAGCATTAATTGGTGCATCCCGCAAATGGACCGACACTTGCTTGGCTGATGGAACCTTGAACGTTCCCGTCGCAGTAGAGCCCGAGCGCCCGTTCACCGACTTGGGTGAACCGTCGGTGGTCGAAATCGATGGCATGGCCCGGTGTCCCTTCTTCTTGGGCGACGAATCAGCCCCAGACGGAGCCTGACCCTGTTCGTGCTTCATGCGTTTGGCAGTCGGCGGAGGCAAGCTTCGAGCAATGGGGTTAGCGGCGTTTCGAGAACGTGCTAGGAGCATGGTGCGGGGTTGTGATGTAGCGTGTTCGGGCGGTGTGGGGGTGTGATCTGATAGGGGGTATGCGAAGCAAGTATGTTTCTGGACGAACTTACTGCACGTCAACCTTTTTGGGAGCCAACGGCTCCTGGCTCTAGAACAATGGCGAGGAGAGTCAATAGGGGCCACCGGCAGGAGAACAATGCGTAACGCGAGAGGGATCTGAGACACTCCATGCACATGACATAAATGGGGCCTAAAGCTCACCTTCCTCTCCGCGAGGATCGACCGTGGACTAATAGCAGGTACCACGACGGGGGCGTCGTCAGAACTGGCGCTGTCCGACGCGTCTCCAGTACTATATCCAGTGTTAGCGCCATGTTTGACATCATGAGGGTGCCATGCATACCGCGTGGATTCGGCGGCGCTCCTCCTTCTCTGTACTCGATCCCGTTCGTTTCCTCAGTGACTTCGTGCAAGGAGGGGACATGCTTGCCTTGTGCCGAGACGCGTACGTGACCTTAACGGGGGTTCGTCTGCTGCTCGGATCTTTAGACCGCACGCTTAACGCGGTGACGCGAATATCGAACACACCCTTCTGGCGACGGGAATGGGCTCGCCATGAAACCGAAGAACGCGATAACCGCGCGTGCCAGTCTGTTGACTCGCGCGCTTTCACCTCTCCCACGCCGGTGTCACCGCCTATTCTTTATTGTCGATTGGTATATTCTTCGCTTTACCGTAAGCACTCAACCCGGTCTGAATGCGAGCTAATAAAATATCGGCATCTTGCGCGGGATTTGGAAATGCGCAGTCAAAAATTGACCGTAGCGGGTATCGATTATCCATAGCGAAAACTGACTCCATGCACTGTCGTTATTTACATAGGGAAAGGGATACATCCAAGTGAATAGCAAAGGTGAACCTGAATATACCAACACCTGGCTAGCATCTCTGCAAGCTCTTGCTGCGAAGGATTCAAGGGATGTAGTGGCGATAAACAAGGAAAAGCAATGGTATGTTGATCCATAGGGTGTCCATACCGGCGTGATATCGCGGAAATATTGATCAAAGATACGGCTTGATCTGCTCTTCGCACCAGTCCCAGACCTTGTCCTGCTCGTTCGTCTTGTACGCTTCCTTTGCGGTTTTGGTAGTCCTCGCCCACGGATAATAGTACTGCACGACCGGAGGAGACAAATCAGCTGCAAGATCTGCCTATAAAGGAGCTCGCTGACGCACCTTCCCGTTCTCCTCTCCTGCCTCCGGGCTCGTAGCAGCGTAGAGTTGTGAATAGGCACCCATGGGCGTCGGGGAAAGAAGCCATCCGATCTTCATTTGTGACACATCAGATGCACTGCGAGAAAGCGCAGGGCGAAGTGAGGCGTACCAAGAGATGCTGGATGCGGTTGGTGTGACGCTGGAGATCTGTCCGAATGTTTCCTATATTCTCAACCGATCAGATACGGATGCAATAACCTAGTACCATAAATCCGTACCGGGATCAACGACATGTGCGATGACCCGTCCATTGGCGCCATAATCACCCTCAAGGAGTTTCGCGAGCTTAAACGTCAGCATACAAGTCGCCATTTTGCTTTGAGCATACAGCTGCATGGTCCCTGATTGAGTGTGGTAAGTAAACAACTTTGGAAATGGCGATGATGACAGATAGCCTACCTAGTTTCTTGCGCTGGCGCGTGTCGGTGAGGGTGTCGTACCGAATTGGAGGATTGAAATAATACGGTGCAGACGATGAGACCCAGACAATTCGGGTGCGGTACGACGAGTCTTGCGCAGAGGTTGCGGTTGAGCGAAGGAGGGGCAAGAGCAGCTTAATGAGTAGAAAATGACCTGACCTGGCAATGTTAGAGCTGAACACCAGGAGTGGAAATGGCCGAAATACCCAGAACGTTTGTGCCGAACTGCAAGTCATAGCCTTGTGCGGTCAACTGCTCAATCGGTGGTATCATGACGCCGGCGTTGGCAATTAAAGCATCCAGGCGGGTCTGTTTGCTAGGGTGTTCGTTCAGAATCACCATCATGGGCGGAGAGGATGTAACGAACGATTTGAACTCCTCGACTGCCTTCTTGACATTGGGTAAGTCCCCGAGATCCATCTGCAGGAACTGTGCGCGCCGTCCAGTTTCGCGCTCGAGGTCAGCAATCGCTGCATTAGCCTTGGTCTCAGAACGCGCGCTCAGCCAAACTTCGGCTCCTGATATTTGTTAGATGGTCAACTCGCAAGGGATACTCTGGCCCATACCGTGCAGCAGAAGCTCTTTGCATGTCTCCTTTCCAATGCCTGTATTGCCACCTGTCACGATGAAAACCTTCCCGTCCAATGCAGGTATGTCCTTCGGCGTCCACTTCGCCTTGGGCGGGAACATTTGGTCGATGATGGTGAATAACAGCATCTTTGACCCTCTTGATGCAGTGACTGCGAGTCACTCCAGGTCGTACTTATACCAGGGTTCGCTGGGACCGGGATACACACGTATGTAGGGTGACGCGTCAGGTCGGCGTACACAATCTCGGCATGGACAGCAACAAGTGCGGCATGATTGCTTCGGTTTCGATTCTCCTGTTGAGAAGCAGTATCGTGAGAGGCGTCGCGTCGGCGCAAGTACACACGTTACAGCACGCCAGGCTCCTGCCCATCCGCTCTCCAGCTATTTGCGCTCCAAACAGAGAGCGCCCGCGAGGCTGAATCCGAGTTGAATGGTGGAGGAGGATGCCAAATTAGGCAATCGAGGGCATTAGGGGATGATCCAAAAGAGGGGAGTGGCAGTGTAGAGTTGATGCGAGGTATATCCGAATAGTGGGGGAGCGCAACGCTGGAGAGCGGCTGGCACTAAATGTAATTTCAAATTGCTGCCGACGTTCGGCAATGACATATATCTTCCCAGGGTAACCAGAAACCCAGCGTAGGGTTACCGTACTATGAATTGCCTGAAGTTGAAGTCTGCTGCGTGTACTCAATTTTATGTCAAGCAGCAACACGCGTTTACAGACAGTAAAAGTGCTTGCGACACGTCAGAGACGATATCCGATGTCACCCAAACTCCCAACCCTGGCACTCCAGCAAGCACTCGCAATCCTTCGCGATATGGGCACATCGCCTCTCGCTTTCGTGCTTGATCTTCTAGCCGACTCAGCACTTCGTATGCACAGCTCGGTCCGGGAGATCTGCGAGCGTAGCAATGAGCTACTGGATGCACTGCAAGGGCACATCGACATAAAAGAGAAAATGGAAGATTGGGCTCACCGGGTTTCAAAGCGGCACTACACACTGGAAATACTTGAATTAGTCAAAAAAGAGAATGGCTGGCACTTCGATGCACTAAAGTCGAACCTCAAGAACCTGGAAGAGTTCGACGTTAGTATAATGGCTACAAAATTTCGAGAAACGGCCCCGCATCTGTGGGATTTGACCGGGCAGCTCTTGATTGCGGATCCGGTGCGAGCCGCACGACGGCAACAAAGGGAACAGCATCGTAAACGGCCGGAATCACACCAGCATAGACTAGACGACCCATCGCATGAAGAAGAGAGCGACGACGAGTATGACGGTGTCTTCAGCGACGACCTCTTCATTCCGGAGGATCCCGATGACCCAGAAAACAGCGAGCACGATATCGATCAGGCTCAAAGCAGGAAAGACGCACTACTGGCCATGGTCAGTGTTGAGTATAAGAGCATGATAGAACACTCACAGTACAATAGAAACAAGTCGTCTGTATTAGCGTGTTCATGCGGTCGACGAATCAAAAATGTAACGCGCTCCAGAGCGCCGTCTCCATATTTCTACACTCTTGCAACACACCCGACACCGTAATCCAGCTCCTATCACGATTTGGCATCAGTACGGCACAAAATGCTATCAACACTGCCATAACAAGCCTATCAAACGAAATCTCCACCACCATTCAGAAGATCGGGCGCGGATTGAACATGTCACTCGCCTATGACAACATCGACATTGAAATCAAGCATGCCGTGCCGCAGGCAGAGAAACCTGCTGACAATCTTGTACACCTAACCTCCGGAACATTCATTCCACTATCTTATGGAGTCAACGTGGAGGACCTACGTTGTTCCGAAGATGTCTGGCGGAAGTCCCGGTACAATCGAAGAGCCATCGAGGCCAAAACGGCAGCTACGGCAGTCGACGTCTTCCAGCTTGCAGACCTACATCCAGATAGGGAAGACCATCCATCGGGTTTGTCACGGCGTTCTCGATTCAACGCGTGGAAGTTTTTGTCCGACTTGGTGAATTTCGGACCAGAATATTTTCGGCAGTTTGCTAGTCAGCTCGGTGAGCCGGAGGTAATCAAGAAGATCTGCGAGGATGATCAGATCCAGCGGACGAAGCAAATACCGCTCACCGCGACGAAGTTCCACCAAGGGCGAACGGAGGAGAACATTGGTGCCGTCCATAGTTTCATGAATCAAGGCGGCGTTGGTGATGTGGCGAACCACTCCGGCCTACGAGAAATCAGAGAAGAGTGCATCATTGGGCACGGCGATTTGCTTACAGTAAGCCGGGTTCAAAGCATCCAACTGTCTCGGTCACTCGAAGATACGACACCGTGGCTTCGTCTTCAGTTCCTTGTCATGGTGCCCGGCCTGTTCCATTTGAAGATGGCCTGTTGCGATGCGATATGGCGCATCTTCATATCTCCTACAAAAGGACAGCAAGATGCGAACTCATTAATGAGTCACATTGGTGTAATTCGGCCAAAACAGACCGGAACGTTCGCAAGCAAGACTGGACCTGGATTTCGGCGTATGCATGAGGTCGTGCAACATGTCGGGACCGTATTGAGGCTTGATTGCTGGCGGTTGAAGGTCGCAGCCTCGTCGAACGGCACATTGGCCACGCTGGATGCATACGCCGAGTCGAAGCCGCTGTGGGGTCGGATTGTGTCCCTTGCGATGCAGTTAGCTCGTGAGCATGTCGCAAACGAGACATTTGTTTACCTGCGGTCTCAAACATCCGAACGACGTGACAAGGAGCTAGAGAACACGCTTCTGCGTCAGAAATATTTCTTGCTATACGAGGAAATGTCATACGCCATGAATGCCGGGGATATAGGCCGCGTTGAGGACCTGTTCTTGCCATGGGCCTACATATTCAAGGGTTGCGGTAAGCATACATATGCACAGCAAATCACTACATTCCTCCATGATCTGTATTTTGTCTACCCAAAACCTCTAAGGTGAGCCTTAGATGATTCTCTTCTCATTTATCCGGAGAGACTTACCAATGAATGTAGGGAGGCAATTGAAAAGAACATTCTCTGCAACCCTACAGGGAAGAAGAATGCTTGGAGGGCGGTAGATTGGCAGGTCGAGCACAACAATCTATACATTAAGGTGAGAAGGCTTTGGCATAGGAAAAGTACTCGCACTTACCTGCGAAGAGGATCTACGGAGGGAAGGGCTCGAATCGAACAGTCGACAGAATCCTCAAAGAGTCGCCACTGATCTGTGTCTACAAAAACGTGAGGGCAACCTTTGAACAGAACTTCGCACTTGGCGCCAGAAATGTCCGACACTCGATGCCAAGTCTCGTCAAAACATTTCGAAAACTGGAACAGTACATGCGGGAGAACCGAACAAACGAGATGATTCCGGGGCGATCTTCTACCTATAGTATCCCGTCGATGATGGACCGCGGAGCCGAGTTGATGCATCAAACAGGAGGCACGGCCGATGTTGAAACAGTAGTGACCGAGGGATCCGACCCGTGGGTCGACGGAGAGCCTGACGGCGAAGTTCAGTTCCGCGAAGAAGACGTGATGTTCGAGTAGTCACCGCGTGTAATACGACAATCTGCGACACGGCGCACTGGCGCCGCGTTCTCGTTTGGTTGTGGATGACGGGCTTTGTTCGTGGTATTTGAGGTAGCGTAGTACGGACAGAGTTTTGATCGCTCTTCTCTGAATAGTCAGCTCGAGGAAACCTCGCGACGAGCCAGAAACTCACTGGTGTGACCGGATCCGTCTTGCTTATGCAGCCTGCACACCGTGCAGGATTTCTTCGCCCGATGATGTACGATGTTCGATGTCGTCGATAGCGGTGTAGAATGCGAGTTCGATTGTTCGGAAGGTGTCGCAAGTGCCGGTGGAGCGGGCGCCGGAGCGATGGTATTGATGATTTCGACGATTTGAGGGCCGTACTCGTCTATCCAATCGTTGCGCCATTGGACCTCAGCTTTGAGAGCCTCCGTGGTATGTATCTTCCCCATATGAGCACATTCAACGATTCGTTGTATGTTGGCAGACGAGAAGAAAACTCCAGGCCCATAGTCTTGGAAGCGGTTTGCACCGAGCTTGGCGCGCGCAACGCAATCCCGCCACGCATACAGCGCATCGTGTAACGACTTGTCGACATCATCCATCTTGTCGATATGTTTGGTGCGCGTTCGCTTTTTTGGCCGCGTCGTGGGCTGGTCGGGAGTCCCGAGCGGTAGCAGCTCAAAGTGGGAGGGACAGCAGAGGTCGCAGCAGTACACTGGATCACGCGGACGGCAGCGGACACAGCCATGCAGAGAACGCACGTCGCATTGCTTATGATCTGAAACTTCGCCGTGAACGACACCCGTCAGTCTCCCGACACTGTATGAACGGATAAGGACTTACGACGTTGAAGTTCTTGGCCGCCGAAGAACAAGAGTAGCGGCTTTCGTCGACACCGGATGCCTGGACGAAGTCCAGCGTTAATGATGTCGTCCAGGACGGGGTCAATCTCGCCGCCGTTCGTGGTTCGTTTCCGCTTCCCTTCCTTGTCGTCTGCGATCCGGTGATACAACTCTTGCGATCTCTCTTTCCAGGCTCGATCTTCATCCTTTCCAGTCCCCAGTCCACCTGCGCCTGCACCTCCACCACCCAGGCCGGAGCCTCCACGAACGCCCAAGCCGGAGCCATCTTGAACGCCCAAGCCGGAGCCATCGCCAACGTCCGCGCCGGAGCCATCGCCAACGTCCGCGCCGGAGCCGTCGCCAACGCCAGCACTCGAGCAACCGCCGACGCCCGTGCCGGAGCCTTCGCCAACGCACGCGCTGGAGCCGTCGCCAACGCACGCGCTCGAGCGATCGCCGACGCCCGCGCTCGAGCGATCGCCAACGTCCACGCTCGAGCAATCGCCAACGCCCGTGCCGGAGCCTTCGCCAACGCCCGCGCTGGAGCCGTCGCCAACGCACGCGCTCCAGCGATCGCCAACGCCTGCGCTCGAGCGATTGCCATCGTCCGCGCTCGAGCAACCGCCAACGTCCGTGCCCGGGCAAGCGCCTCCTACCGCGCCGGGGAATGCGCCTCCTACCGCGCCGGGGAATGCGCCTCCTACCGCGCCTCGGTACGTGCCCTCTACCGCGCCTCGGTCCCTGCCATCGAACGTGCCTCCTCCCCTGCCTGCGAACGCGCCTCCTCCTCTGCCTGCGAACGCGCCTCCTCCTCTGCCTCCGAACGCGCCTTCGCCTCCGAACGCGCCTTCGCCTTCGCCTCCGAACGCGCCTTCGCCTTCGCCTCCGAACGCGCCTTCGTCTTCGCCTCCGACTGCGCCTTCGTCTTCGCCATCGGCTTCGCCGTCGTTTTCGCCATCAGCTTCGCCGTCGTTGAAATCATGACCTAGCCGAGCTAATGTAGACTTTCGGATTGCTGGATCCTTCCCCGCTCGGTCTCTTTCCTTTCGCCGTTGGTCTTGTTGACGCCGTCGTTGGCGTCGTTGAGACGCCTTCGCCCGTTCGTCATCAAAGTACTTTTTCTCGGCCAATAGAACCGCCCAAGCCACCTCGCCTGAACCTCGCGCCCCTCGTCCGAAACGTTGAATCAATGTACTTGCGTCACATCTTGCCCTCCATTGAACCACGATCGCAATGCCCGTCATATCCACACCCTGTGCTTGTTTGTGAGTTTCGTAGGTTTAAAATTCGGTTATGAGATGTACACACCATACCGAAAGCGTCTGTTACGATGAGTCCCCAGGATCCGCCGTCGTCCATGAACCCCTTTGCTTCAGTCTCTCGGTATTCGTTACTCATCACCGCGTGGTAGTATTTGACTCTGTCCTTCAACCGCGCTGGCAGCCGATCTCGAAGATGCATGGCAGCTTGTTCTGTCTCCGTCCGACTGTCACAGAATACCACGAATCGCGGAGGTGGATTTGTCTCGTTTGCATCCACTGGAATCAAAAAATTCAGATCATCGTAGGACCTGATTGTGCTTTGTATGGGCCTGACTGCAAGCTTCAGATCTGGTCGGTCATTTGATCGCATGATGTAGTCCGTTTTGCCGGGTCTAAGTCGCAGAAGTCGAGTAACGTCATGGAGGATCGGCGGGGGCAAAGTGGCAGAAGCAGCATATACTGGAATGGGCTTCGAGATGAGAAAGCGGAGGTCGCCAGCATGTCCGTATTCTGTCCGAAACGCCTTCCATGTGCTGACACAATGTGCTTCATCAAAGACAATGTACAGGAGATTCTGCGTGAACTTCCCATCGTTCCACAGTTTCCCGAATTGCCCATTCTCCTTCAAGAGCAGCTCCGGATTCACTATGATTACGCGGTAGTCGAGGTTTTTGACACGCTGTCATCTTTTACGTTAGGCTCTTGTCATGAAGAGGATTCGAAGGACGAACCTTGAATACATCTGGGCTGCAATTCCCAGCATCAATTGCCACTGCGGAGATTCTTGCTCTTTTGAGGACATCCGAATGTGAGTTCTGTTTGCCCAAAATGTTCAGAGGGGTCACGATGATCATCATCCTGTCTCCTTCTCCATCCTCCAGAGCCATGAGCAACCGAATGTAGAACGTCATCGTCTTGCCTGCACCAGTCGCTGCCACTCCGACAACATCCTTGCCAGCTGCAAGGGATTGACCAACCCGGATTTGCCAGAGGCATGCACGCTTTCCAAATTTACGTTGGACGAGTTCTCGTATACGTGTCGTGGTCCATACTGGGTGGGAAGACGCCAAAGTTGTGGACATGCGAAGAGTGCGCTGGACGTAGTACTTTGGGAAGGTATGCAGAGGACATCCCAAACTTGGATGATGACTGTGACCCTACACTGGGTTTCTGGTTACCCTGGGAAGATATATGTCATTGCCGAACGTCGGCAGCAATTTGAAATTACATTTAGTGCCAGCCGCTCTCCAGCGTTGCGCTCCCCCACTATTCGGATATACCTCGGGAGATCCTACTTGCACCGCCACATTCCATATCCGGTACCCACCCCTGATTTCCAAAGTCCCATTCAACTCGGATTCAGCCTCGCGGGTGCTCTCTGTTTGGAGCGCAAATAGCTGGAGAGCGGATGGGCAGGAGCCTGTATGTACGTATCAATACCGGAACAGTACTTCAGTACGTACAGGCAGTACAAATTGAGCTAAAGAAGCACTGATACACTGCTTCAAAGATCGTAGCCATCTGCTTTCGAAATCGTTGTCAAACAGGCGGTAGGATCAAGAATGTCTTGGACGCTGCGTATGCAGCTTCGGCTTCGGCTGTAAATCGATGTTCGAAAGCCCAATAGCCGTACCAGAAGTCAGCGCATCCCCGAGAGAACCACCGCATGGTGTACACCTGCCAGCAGGAGGGGAACCAGCCGGAATCCTCCCAGTCAATGATACCAGAGACGTGACCATCGTGAATCAAGACGTTATACGTCCGTAGATCCGCATGCACGTAACGAATGGGATCTGCTTCCATGATTTGGCGAGTTACCGGATCCACATTCTCTTCGTACTCCTGCACGTCGTTGTACGAGCCGGCGTGGGCCCATAGCGCTGTCGTCGACGGGAAAGGACCCGATCGCGTTTCAAAGAAATATCGGGGATCCGGAAGGTCATGGCCAGATGCACTGAGCATGACTTGTCCAGCATCTGCGTGAGGCTGCCGAAGTGTCTGCAGTTTTTCGAGGACAGAAGAGACCTCTTTCACGATGGTCTGTTGCAAGTCGAGTGACAAAGGGCCCTGGCACAATGCTTCATAGACGGAGATTCCGGGGATGCGAGTCATGACCGTATAAGTTGCTCCTAGATGCTCGAATGATGCGACGAGGCGTGGAATAGGGAGATTGAGTCCCGTCGCATGGAGGAACCGTAGAGCGCTGGCTTCTGTACTCGTGGTCCGGGGTCTAAATTTGACCAACCAGGGAATACCGAGCCTGAACGCTCGAATACTCCGTGTGTTTGGGAAAGGCGTGGTATGACGAAGGAATAGCCGGTACTATGCAATCATATCTTAGACCAAAACGAAGGCGACAGCACGGAGCAAAATGTACCTGAATCGACGCGTTTGGTGTTTGTATGAGGATAAAGATCCACAAATGAAACGACACAGGCATTGCAACCGGACGTGAAAGATGATAACGCGGGACGGTGGTACTGAGAGGCGGATGTCTTTGGGGCGTTCCTTACAGGAGACTGGCACGAGGCATTAAGATTAGTGAGGATAAGAATACTCGAGGGCTTTCAATTGCTGTCGCGGTGTACAGTATGGGCCCACCGTGGGAGCTAGGCTAGATTAGTGTGCGAGGGTCCTCTGAGAGATGGGTCGTGCGAAAATAAACACGTGGTGAAACTCCGCGAGTGCACGGGCGACGCGTTAAGCCGCGCGCGTCGTCGCGTCGCGTTGAACGGTCTTCAGCTCGTCTTGCGCTTGTACATACATCGGCGCCCTCGCGCTGCTCGGAATCACTATTTATATATTTATTCCACACTATGGGACTGACTCCGGTGAACTCGAGGCTCTGGTTAGACGGGTTACTGCGCGAAAAGTGCAAGATCTCGGCACCCCGCCCATTCCAACTCGACCTCGGCTTGCACCTCATCAATGGACGCGATGTTCTCCTCGTTATAGCCACGGGTCAGGGCAAGACAACGGTTCTTCATGCACCGCTTTTGGCTGCCCAGGCTCGCAAAGAAAATGGGATCGCATTCATCGTCATCCCGACGAAGCTTCTGGGAGAGCAGCATGTTGGTGTCCATTTGTGGACTTTTGTTCCGGCGGGCTGACTTCAAAATGGTTAGGCCACAGTTGCGGAGGCTAGAGGACTCATAGGACGCGCTCTCAACGAAGATACGGTCCGCGAAGCATCGAGTCGCGGGCATGACTTGTTCAAGGAAATCTTCGAAGGAAAGGGCGTACGTGTTGTCGCGCTGAGCCCGCAAATGCTTCGAAGCCCGCGGGTCTGGAGATATCTCAATAACCCTGACGTCAAGCGTGAGGTCCGCTGGTTCTTTGTCGACGAAGCACACCTCGTCAACGAGCACGCCGCAGAGTGGTGTACGGAGTATCAGGCGTTGAAGGAGATGCGTGCCCGTCTCGTGAATAGCACGGTATGGGCTGCGGTTACTGGTACAGCTACGCGTCAAGAAGCCGCTTTCATTGCCAAGACCCTTGGATTCCAGCCGGGAGCTTTCGTGGATGCTCGCTATTCCATCGATCGCCCGAACATCAAGTTCATCCCTCGATTCTTCGAACATCCCTATTCCGGTTCGCATTTCCTGGATCTCAGTGTGATGAGAAGAGAAGGACAATTTATTTTCGCATTTTTCATTTCTAAATATGGACTTATCATTTTCCTTTTCCCACCTTTCCTTTTCCAAAGTCACGTGACCTTCAGTGGCAGCAGTACAGCATCATTGACACTGCCTTGCACTGCCCTGCACAGCCACCGGAGTTTTATTCCGCTTACTCATAAACAATGACTCGTTATTCCTTCTAACTCCTTGATTCATAATCCTGACCCACCTAAGTGGGTCGGTCTTACTCATCCTTGTGCCCTGCATGTGATTCTCTTGTACTATTCTTGGACCATGGATTTGTGTATATAAGACCCCTGTAGCTCGCCCTAAGTCCCCATCTCGACCTCTTGTGTCTTGGGGACTTAGGTGAGTAACCGTCTCTGTATTAGATACTATGCTAACTTGTGTCTTGGGGACTTAGTGTGTGACCTTGAGTCCATTAGGTGTCCATTGCGTCGCTGTCGACCTCGTGTCCAGTGA